GTGCAGGGAGCTACTTATAGCTTTTGTGGCCACTTGGCAAAAGCACCGGTTTCTGAGATGTGACCTTTGGGAGCCACAGACGACCACGGGGCTTCACATCCCTACAGGAGGGACCCCATCTCCTAAGCCTGCAGATATGAAAGCCCAGCGTCCACGAGGGGCTCATTCTCATCACACCTGCAGGATGCACAGGGGATCACAGAACCACAGAAGGCAGGAAAAGGTCTCTCGGATCACCCAGTCCAACCCCAATCCATCCCACTGTCCCCATTGACTGCAGCACCTCCAGGGTGACCCCCTGTGACCCCCTGTGACAGTGACCCCCCCCCACCTCCCACCAGGGCAGCCTGGTCCAGTGCTGACCACTCTTATTTCTTATCATCCAACCTGAAATGGGGGTGTTACACAAGCACTAAACACTACAGGGAAAACCTTGAATCCTTCCATTACCCGTTCATAATGAAAACGCATGCCCTCCTGGTTCTTCCCAAAAAGTCTGTAACGAATCCACAACGCTGGATTGCTACTTGGGGAAATTGTGATTTAAATTTCATTCTATTTATAGTGTCTCTATGGAAACAGAGGCAGCATTAGGTGGGTAATAATCACAAAGCTGTGGATTTCTGTCACCAAGGGTACGACGTAGCCTCAGATGCACAGTTTGCCCTTTAGGAAGTCCAGGTGGAAAGGAACAAGCATTGCCTTTCCTTGAGGGAAAAAGAAACAAAACAAAGGTAAAGGTGCAATAAAGACATTCTATAGCAGCTGCATTGGGTGGAAGCCAAAAAAAAAAGGGGGAAAAAAAAGGAAAAAGAGGCCAAAAGAAGGGAGCAGCATACTGGCATTGCTGGGCTGTGGATGGAGGGCTCGCTGAACTGTGGACCTGTTGGCAATGAAGAGTGGTCCCTGTGAACACGCTGCTGCTCTGCAATACTTATTGCTGATGTAAAATCTCTGTTTTTCTTGTGTTGCTCCGGGATGTGACTGCACTTCTACAGCAGAGGCATTTTTCTGGCACAGAGCTGCTCGTGGCTCGGAACAGATTGTCTACATGGGCTATTTTGGAACTGCCATTGCTTAATAACTGATGCAATGGATATGGAGGTTAATCTTGCTGTGCAGGCAGCTGTAAACCACCAAGATTATTACCAGAATACACATACACACGTATTTATTAACACAGGTAAGGTCTCCTAGTGATGCCAGGATCTGGTTTCCATGGACTGCAGAGGAGCAGCTCCTGGCTCACATCCCCGTGCCAGTGGATCAGACCTGGGGTATCAGCTGGGTTTGGCACAGAGGAACCTCGTGGTCCATCACCAAAGGTTTTCCAGCTCTTTGATGGGCCCTGCCCTGACATTTAACCCCCATTCCTCAGGTTTCAGATGCACAAGGCAGGGATCTTATCACCACGACCGTATAGCAGAGCCACGCACCAGGTTCAATTATTATTATTATCACTATTAATTATGCATATCCCTGGCACGCCCAGAGGCTCCAGCCAATATTCTGCAGCCCATTGGAGGCATTGCATAAAGAGAGTGGAAAACTACCCCACTGCATCCCATTGCATCTCATCCCATCCCACAACAGCCAGCACCTCAGGGCACCAGGGGAGGACAGGACCCCTCGGCCACAAACATATAGATGTTCTAAAATGGAAAATAAAGCACTTCCCCCCCACGCTTCTCCTCTTGGGGACAGGAGGAGAGAAAAAACATGTGACAAGTGTTAGTCATGTTGCTCCGTGCACTACCGAAGTGCTGTAGTGATGTGCACTGCCTGCAAGCAAATCTGCACCTTTGGCTGCAACTGCCAGGTGCTGCTGCAGCTGGGGAGCTCCGGACCCCAAATCTATAGGGCATGGAGAGGAGCTGGGAGTCACTGGATGATAGCACGGAGGGCATCAGCCTGTGGCTGTCACCTCTGCATTGCTGTTATCAACCGCAGGGATGCTGAAAGCATGCTGGGGTCCTTGCTGCAGCATCTGAACATCTCCTGCATGGGAAGATGCTCTCCTTTGGGGGGGCTAGGGGCTTAGCAATCAGCCCCCATGGGGCATGAGGAGCTGTTGGGGTCCTTGGCATCACCCTGGGAGGTGTGGGTAAGCGATGCCCTGGGGAGGTGATGGATGGAGCTGCTTTGGTGACCACGCTGCTGCTGGAGCTGCCTGACAGCAGCTCTGCTCTGGCAGCCACAGGGGATCCATCTCACCTTGGCGGTGTCCTTTTAAGACCAAAATACGCTTGGAAAATTGTTCGTGCGATGGATTAAATAGAAATGTACCAGCGGGTTGAGAATAGGTGGCTGGCGACCTTTATGGAGAGGAGTTGTCCTCTGCGGCCTGCCTGCGAGGTTCACAGCTCAGCCCACCACAATCCCACCCCACTGCTCATGCCAAGGCCCCCAGGGCTGCATGGTGGGACCCCCTGGATGGCTGCTCCCCATCATACGGGGTTGGGTCAGGCCCAAAGAAGGGGAAAGGCTGAGGACAGCATCGTGGGGTCATCGCTGCTCTCAGCTTTCGGGTTCAGAGGAAGGAAAAGCTGGGGCAGCGCAGATGGAGATGGTGAAACTGGAGATGGAAACGATGCCAGGTTTCAGCTTTCAGCCCTCTGACAGATTGGACCATTTGGGAAAATAGAGAGAAATACACCCAGATCTGAGATGCCTGGGGACACAGGAGTGGGAGCTGAGCTGTAAGTGCCCCTGTGCAGGGACTGGTGAGCCCAGAGCTGCAGCCAGGAGGCTGCAGTGTTTGTATGGCTCCAGCCACTCTGCTGCAGAGCAGAAATCTCCACCACCCAACATATTTTTAAGCAAAACTATGTGTCATGCATCTGCTCTGCTCCTTGCCAGAACTTTTCTTTTCTTTTTTTTTTAAACCTCTTTTTCCCTAATGGAGCCTTTGCTCTTAGCACAGGAGTTAGGGTTGGGGAAAGGTAAGCTGTTGGAGCTATGCTGGGGCTTGGGGATGGGCACAACACAATGCAGCTCTTTGTTTCCATGTTTCCAGCTCAAAACTGTCCCAGCATACAGAAGTTCACACCTGAGGCTCCTTCACTGCCCACTGGGAGCTGAGTGTGGGGCCGTGAATCTGGGATTGGGCACCAGCCTGGAACAGCTCCAGAGGGACCTGGGGCAGGAGAACTTCCAGATGACTCCGCTTCCTAAAGATGCCACTAATGGCAGCAGTAGGAATTGGTGGTGTTGGTGGAAGGGCCAGCACTGAGCTCCCTTTGGGAGCTGCGGGCAGCACCAGGACACAATTTTTCCTTCACGAAGCACATTTGAGGATTGACTCCATACAGGCAATTAATTATTGGGCTACAAATGCGTTACGGGGAACATCAAGAGGTAAACCTGCATTTGGGCACCGTGCTTGCATCAATAAAATCAATGGCAGCCTGGTCACTGCCATGAGCTGGATGTGGCTGAAGATGGGCTGAGCTCCAGCTCAGCACTGGATGCGCATCTGAGGGATGCAGGTGGATTCCTGGGGTTGTTTGGGCAGCGTGGGCAGCTGCTGGGACTGCTTCACCCCAGCAGCATCATCACTGCAGGGACATGCTCATCCCAGGGGCATCTCCATCCCAAGAGCATCCCCAAACTGAGAGCATCGCCATCGTGGGACCATCCTTAGCCCTGGGAGCATCGTTATCCCAAGAGTATTTTCATCCCAAAAACAAACCCATCATTGGACTGTCCCCATTGTGTGGCCATCTGTACTGTTGGGGGTCTCCATGGTGGAACCATCCCCATCATGGGACCAATCCCATTATGTGGCCATCCCTACTGTTGGGCCATCCCTGCTGTTGGGCCATCCCCATTGTGGAAACATCCCTATTGTGGGACCACCCCCACTGTGGGACCATGGGACCACCTCCATCGTGGGATCATCCCCATCATGAGACCAATCCCCATTGTGTGGCCATCCCTACTGCTGGGCCATCCCCACCGTGGGACCATCCCTATTGTGGGTCCATCACCACTGTGGGACCAACCCCATCGTAGGGCCATCCCTCATCCTTCAAGGTGACACCTGTGGCAGCACGGAGACCACATGCTGGTGTCATTGGCACCCACCATGCCACACATCCCTCCAGCACCCCCACACCCCAATGCCAGGCTCACAGGTCACTGCCTGCCCCAATAACCCCACGGTTACCCTACAGACAGTCCCAGCAATAACCTGCAGGGACTCTCAGCCCCCCCACCTCCCTCCCGTTGCTCACCTTCAGGTCGGGGGGTTTGGAGCGCGGTGGGGGACCACCACCACCAGCCTCCGGGACCACCGCCGCCTCCCCGGTTTTAGCTTCCATGGCTGCAGCTCCGTGCTGCTCCCCCGCGGCCCCGTGCTCCTCTTCGGGTTGCTGCAGCTCGTCCGAACGGCACCGCTTCATACCGCCGCTCCTCGCCCCCGGGATGCGGGGGCTTCTACGGCCGCGGTGGCGGCGGCGGCGGGCGGCGCCCGGGCGGCCGCTGCGGAGCCCTCGGGCTGCGCGCCGCCGCCCCGCCCGCTCCTGCCCCGCCGTGACCGGGCCGGGCGGCGGCACCGCGCCGCGGCGGCTCCGCACCCGCCGGCATCGCCGCCGTCACCGCCGCCGATCAGCGCTTGAGTGGCGGCCGAACGGACCAATGGCAGAAGGCGAAGGGAGGAACCGGAGGCGATGATTGGCGGACGCGCCGCGGAGCTGTCGCGGAGCGCGGTGCTGAGTTAACGCGGCTCGGGGTGGCGTTGCCGCCGCCTCCTCCTCGCGGGACTTCATTTCCCAGAGCACCCCGCGCGCGGGGGCGAACTACAGCTCCCGGCATGCCCCGCGCGCAGCGTCCGTTGCTCTCCTCCCCGTTTGCCCCGCGGCGCTCCGATAAAGGTTCCGCGGCGAGCGCGGCGCCGGTTCGCTGAGGCGCTGCCCCGGAGGAGGAAAGCGGCGGCGGTGGCGGTGGGGGGTAGGGGAGGCGGGAGGGTGGGGGGGGTGGGAGAAGAGAAGAAGGAGGCACGGCCGCTGTGGGGAGCGCAGTTCCCTCCGGGAGGGGAGGACAGGCCGCAGCCTGGCGGGGCCGGAGCGTCCCCCGCGGTGGGGAGGGGAAAGCGGGACGGACCCGGAGGAGATGGAGGGCGAAGGAGCCCCTTCGTGGCGGGGTGGGTCCGGGGGGCTGATCCGAGAGCTGTGCCGTTCCTTCGGTCATTACAACCGGCACCTGGCGAGGCTGCAGCATAACCTGAGAGAGACCAAGAAGTTCTTCCGCGACGTTAAATATTCCCAAGGGAATCTTTTCGTTTCGGGGGTGGAGATCGGAGAGGGATCCACGAGCGGGGCCGGCGGAACGAGGGATGGAGGTGAGGGGGGCAGGCCTCAGAGTGGGGTCTGTTGGAGGGAGGGAGGGGCAGAGTGGGGGCTGTGGGGCTGGGGGAGGGGGCAGAATGGGGAATGAGGGGGGAATAGGGGGTCTGGAGGGGAGGGGGGTTCAAGGAGGGTTGGTTGGAGTGGACTGGGGAGGTCTGGGGGGGAGTGTTGGGTCCTTGGGGGTGGGATGTGGATGGTGAGGAGCTGGCTGGGGAGGTAGATTGTGGTTTGCTGTTATGGTGTTGTGTTATTGCAGGGTTAAAGGGGCTGTGTGTGTGTGTGTGTGTGTGTGTGTGTGTATGGAGATCTGGGCTCATGAGGAGGGTGGTTTGGGTGACTGTATTGGTTTCTATAATTCCCTGAGATGAGGTTGGAGCGAGGTGGGGATTGGCCTCTTCTTGCAGCGATCGCACAAGAGGTGGTGGCCTTATGTTTTGCCAGGGGAGGCTCTCTTGGATATTGACAGAAATTTTTGCTCTAAAAGAGTCGTCAGGCATTGGCATAGGCTGCCTGGGGAAGTGGAAGCCTGGAACGGTGCAGAACTGTGGAGTTGTAGCATTGAGGGATATGGATCTGCAGGGATGGGTTGGAGGAGGGTTTGATGATCTTAGAGGCTTTTTCCAACCTTTATAATCCCATGGCTTGAGAAGGCTTGTGGGCGGGTCAGGTGTGAGTGAGGGCTGGAAGGTGAGCTGGAGCCTGCGAGGGGTTGGAAGCTGTGGGGTGGGGGCCTGCAAAGTGAAGCACACTGAGCTGGTGGCTTTCAGAGTGCCCTACATGCATTGCCATTCATCTGCTTGCACTTCATCTGTTAGCGTTGGCAAACATTTGTGAAGTTTGGAGACCTCCTGTCTTGTGCAGAACTTTGTATTCCATAAGACTGTCTTGTGAGAAGAGGTCAGCGTGACATTATATATCTATAAAGATCTTCTTTATGCATTTCCAAATAGTTCATGAGTCATCTCTGTTGGCTACTTGTCCGTGCTTGTCTTATGCTTACCGTTCTTATTTGAAAGTGTTGTTGAGCTCTTCTGTTGATCTGTGTCCAAAAAGAAAGTGTTACATATGAACTTGTAGGCTAGAAGTGCCTGGCTTGCTCAAAATTCATCCGACGTGTGTTTGTTTATATATCTTTCAGTGACTTTAAGGAAGGAGGATCTAGCTTGTTTTGCTCTTTCTGTTGGTCTCAGTGCTCTTAGAGTGGAGCATTCGACAGGAGTCGTTCTTGTTTGGTTGCTTCTTGTAAAATGATGCCAGCCCGATATCAATTGCATATTAAAAGTCTGCTCGTAGAGCTTGGAAGATGTGTGTGCACTATTAATTGAATATTCCTGACATGGGATACAGGTTTCAGCAGGTGTCCTGCCTGTTTCTGCTACAGAGTGCTTAAAATCTGGTTTTCCAGCACTAACCTTGACCTGGTTTGACTTTGCTACGCCATGTGTTGCCAGTTGGCCTTCAAGTATCAGGACTGCAAGAAACACAGACTGCTTTGGAACTTGCTCATGCAAACAGTAATGGCAGTATAGGCTGTGGGTTCAGCATTTCGGATTACAGAGGCTGTGTAACATTTACAACCCTTTGAAACCTGGGGCACTGATAGTGCTTATTGCCTTTGTGCATGAGTAGTGAGCTCTGAAAGGAGTTTTTTTCTTGGAAGTTCTAGTTAAGTTGTGTGCTTCTAGTACTCTGAAATGTGATGCTTACTTTCTCTGAGTGTTTTTCCCTTTCTAACACGGGGAGATTATTTTAAGTGTCAGAGGGTTTGCAGGACTCAGTTTGCACAGACTTTAGAATCATTTTTCCTAGAATTTGCCCTGCAAGTGGTTTCAAAGTGAAAGTAGTGTTGACTAAACAGTTCTAAAGTCTTTTTGCAGAGCTGTGCAAAATGTTGGAGCGTGAAATAGGTAGGAAATAGGAAGTGAAATGGACAGGACGCTTGTTGCCTACAGCTGAAGGAGGAAAATAAACAGAGAAAGTAAACTGAGATGTCTTGGAAACAAAACAAATGTGTGAGGGTTTGCTTTTGAGACACACGTGAAACTGGTGTAAGAGTGGAGGAAGGTAAGTGCCCTTTGAATCAACAGAAATCAGCAAGCTAAAGCACAGGCTGGGCAGTGCTGTGTGAAGGCAGCCCCAGGGAACTTCCAGGCTGGGCTCTACCTGCAGCTGAGCTGGGCAGCCAGGGCTGAGCAATGAGAGGGGCAACATGTCCCACCTGCTTCTGCTCCAGAAGGATGACAGCAGTGTTTGTCAGAAGTGGATCATAGTGGTGCAGGTTAAGAAACAGCAACCCTGCCTCTGTACTGCCTGCCTTTTTCTTCATTCTGTGCTCAAAGTAACACCACCTCTTTAACCCAAGATCTGAGTTTGTTCTGTGTGTATTCATTTCAGAAAGCAACCTGAACTGCACCTTTTGTACAGATAACCACAGCACCCCAGCATTCTGGTTGGCAGCACTGGTATCATCTTGATGTGTGCTTGTCAGGGAAAAACCCTGGGCTTGGTGGCCTAAAGACTCCATGCATAAATGTGTTTTGGAGGGGGTGAACGTGTTAACCAAAGGTTTTTAGGAGAGTTTTTATCTGATGCTGTATTGACTTGAGAGTATATAGGCTGGTTAAAATGTGACTTCTCCCCATGCTGCTGTGATCCTCAGGTTAGGGCTTGTATTGTGCTGGTGGACATGTAAACATAAGGTGAGCTTTAAGACCAGATAACGTGTGGAGAGGTGGTAGGGAGGCTGTTTGAGAAGAAACTCCTTGAATAGGTCAGGGAAGCTCTGGCCAACGTGCTTTGAGTTGAGCAGAAGGTGAAGCTCGCTGCTGCAGACCAAGATGTTAACGCTGTGAGGAGTGTTTGCTGGCGTGGTCATTAGCTGTGTTTGGCCTGGAATTAACAGCACTGCTGATGGATGTGTGGTGGCTCGTGTAAAGGAGCGTGTTAATTGTAAATCTTGTCATGGTCCAAGCATTCTGCAACGCATGGGCTGCCATGGAACTGAAGGAATTGGGAAGGTGTCAGTGTCTGCAAGGAGCACGAATGTGGCATCAGGAACACCACAAACGAGTCTGGAGATACAGGAGGAGATGGAGAAGCGCTGAGGGGTTCTGCAGGTTTGGTAAATACAACTTAAGCTTGTTTTGCCAAGAGTTGGTCTGGATTCTGTGCTGATTCCTGGTGAGAGATCTCCTTGTTTGTGGACAGGCCGCCTTTCATCGCGGGTTCTGAATGGGATGCACGCGCTTAGGGACTCCCCTGCAGCCTTATTTTTGAAGTGCTTATCACATGTCTCCAAATGACACAGTTTCTGTCACGGCCAGGAGATGCTCACACAGAGATGGGAGCATGGCTGCATCTCCTCAGGGCATCCTAAATCTGTTTTTTTGTTAGGTCAGCAGCTCGGGAGGTTGTTTTTTCCCTATGTCAGTGCCACGGCCTCCTAGGTGCACTATGAATCTCTTTATGTCTTGATTTCATAAGCAGAAATAGCAGTAAGTTCTGTGCAATACAGAATCACAGACAATTGCTCCATGACTGCAGCTTGCTCCAAATTTGAGATCTTAAAATCTCTGAGGGTGACATGATGTTAAATATCACACATTTGTTGCTGGTTCTGACTATAGCAAATTTACTTGATGAAGAACACAGGGAGGTTGTGTATGTGAAGAATGATGTGGTATTTATCCATTCTGTGCTGCAGTAATTTCAGCTGGAATGATGGATTTCAATCATCTAATTGGCATTAAGTGCATGTAAATGCAGAGGCTGCCCAGTGCAAGGAGTGGGTGAAATCTGCCTGTTTTTCTACAAACCAATGTAAGGAAGATTTCGTGGCCAATCCAACTCCTGATTGTGTTTTCGTGGTATCTGAAGAGCGAACTTGAATCCTGGCTGAAATTTCAGTAGATGTAACCGGATCAAAGGAATCCTTATCCTGTAGATGAAGGCATAAATGTGCTACATGTGGGTTTTCTCTGTCTTTTCTTTGATGCACTGCTTGATTGTGCCCTCTGGTCACTTGATGTGGTCGCTCTGCTCTGGTTGTGTCTATCAAAAGGCTTGTTTATCAGAGCTGCTTCGAGTCAGACTTCAACCAGAGATGCCTCCATAACCTTTTGTAGGCTTTATTTGGTTAGCCGTATTGAGGAAGTATCTTGGTATATCAAAGCCTCTTGTTTCAGCATCTCCAGCCCCAAGAAAACAATGTTGGGTGCCGGAACATGACTCACTGCAGTTCTTTTAATAGCCCTGGTGAAACAGGACCTTCCCCTACAAAATCCCCACTGGTGCTTCTGTGTTTTGCCATCTGAGCCCAACTTCATGCTCTTCTTGTTGCTTTGTCCAACCTCAGGGCCGTCATCCTTGTTGGTAGCTCTGAAATTCGGCCGTTGTGTTTAGGACTAAATTAGTTGTTTCATTTTTGGGTGCTGTCTGCCTTCAGGTCTGGAAAAATGAGGCCTGCTCTTTGGCTGGGTGGAGCATCAGCTGATGGGGACTCGTGAGACTGAAGGGCAGCAAATGGGGAATTTGTTTGTATCCATTATTTGGTACGACCGGAATTGTTCTGTTGCTATGTGTAAGGTAACACAAAGCTGCTTACACTTCAGCTTAGATGATTGAGCATGAGAAAAGCTGTGTTTAGTACTTCTGAAAGAATTCAGAAGCTGAATTCAATAGGGAGACTGTTTTCCCCAGCATTAATGTAGTAAAAGGCAAACAGGAGGAGTTGCACCATCACAGCTAAGAAATCAAACAGCTTGGTTAGTGGGCTGTTGTAGGGATGCTTCCAATGGCAGATGGGGAAGGAGAGCAATTCCAGGGAGTTCTGGCTGCTCTGCAGAAGATGTTCAGCAGTTTCCTTTTACAGCAAAAAACATTGTTTGTGAAATTGGTAAGAATATCTGGCAAGCTGATTTAGTTCAGCTATATAGATGACTCCTTTTGGATGGAAAGGAAAGATATGTATTGTTAGGTGCAGTCAGAGGAACAAATCTGTTGCTTAATGTGTTTGAGGCTGCAGTGTTCCGTGCTGCAGATGATGTTAAGGCCTTTGGTTGTTTCAGCCTTGACAGCTGTTTCCTCTTAGCTTTTAGGATCTACCATCCATCTGCCACCACCCTGTTCCAGAGAGCTGTGTAAACTCCTCCTAGGGCAATAGCTGGGGAGAGCAGAGCAAACCTGTTTCATGACTTGCTGTGGACCTCTGTACCGACACAGTGAAAGTGCCACGTTGCTGATGGACGTGAAATTGCTCCAGGACATGAAAGCAAATGCTTGGTGCTCTGTGGGTTTCTTAGCTGGCTGTGGAGCAATGATGTCTGAATGTTGGTGTTCAGCTGCCTTAGAGTTATGAGACTTACTGTTCAGTCGACCTGTTCTGACTCAGTTTGTACTCAATTTCAGGGCAGAACTTCATTTCCTTCCCTCGCCATGAGGAAGAACACCTCCAGCAGACCGTGAGCTGGCACCCTTGCCTCCTCATTCTTGGCCAGAACTGTAATGCCAAATGCCAGTTACTCAACATACTGCTGGGTGAGAAGCTGCTGCCTACCACCAAAATCAGCAGTGAGGAGAACTGTAAGCGGCGGCGGATCCGTTTCACACATGGGACACAAACACGGGTTAGTCTAGCACTTCCTGAGCAATATGAACTGGTCCACATGATGGCAGCCCACCGAGGACACTGGGACACCATCCCTGAGGAGGACTTAGAGATCCGTGGGGACAGTGAAGATCCTGCTCACCGCATAGCAGAGCTGGAGGTCGTGCTGCCGTACTCGCTGCTAAAGGTAACCGTGTGTCTGCACACAGCTGGCCTTCCTGAACATAAGATGCAGTAAAACTCTGTGATAGTGGAAGTCAGTGATGTCAGTGGGAGCTGGAGGTGTTAGAAACGAGGAGGTGGGGCTCTGTTTGCAGTGCTGTGTCTGTCATTGCTTGTACCTCCCCTTGTCCCTTTCCCCAGTGTTTCACTTAGCCGTAAGACATGTTCCTGTCCTGGGTGTGTGTGGTTTGGTGCTCAGCAAAAAACTTCAAAGGTGAGAGTTGAAGCCTTTTTATGGCTTCCATAAGCTTTCTTTGAATAGCAAATCTTACACTGAGCTGTTTTTATTGCAGTGCAATATACATGGAGCATTGCTTTGGCTATCAAACATCCACAGTAGGTTATTTATTCTTAAATGTAAAGTGCTGAAGTGCAAAGAATCTGATCTGTGTTCGTGCAAGTAAGAGTATAACTTTGTTGTTGAACAGTGATCAATCAAGGTAACTTTTTTCTGGGGCATCTGAATTAAGGCATCATTTCAGCTGGGCACGAAGTGGAGATTCAGTCTGTTTTCCTCAGGCTGAGATGTTTCATAAACCCAGACTACTGTGAAGCCTACCCTTAGTGATGCCAACAAGGCAGTGCTGTGTTGTGGGATGTTTGTGGCCTCCCATACCCACTGAAAGAACAGAAGTGGTGTTTGTAGATGGAACATGAGGCATCAGCACCTTCCTGAAGAGCACCGGATCAGCTGCTGCAAAGTAAATGCCTGTTCTGGGTCTGCATGTGGAATCCTGCTTTGCTGTTGCATACAGAGTACTTAGCTTTACATTTGTTTTGCTTGTGTATGTTTTTATGTGTCAGTTTAGCCGTGCTGCAGTTTACAAACCTCTGTGCATTTACGTTTCTCATGTGAGTGACAAAGATCCCTCTGTCTGGCTTTGGTTATATTTAGGACACTTAGATGAAAACAGCTACTCAGATTAATTTGAAAAGGGTTGGTGAAATAAAACCCTTTTCCAACAGCAGGAGAGGGAGGGTGAATCACAGCTAGCCTCAAGACTGACTCAAAGGATTCCTTACATAAGTTTGAGGGGCTGAAAACAAGAACAAAAATATTTTTTAAGGCTGGTGGGAGGAGGTAGGTGTTTGAGCAGTGAGTTGGGCTGTGATAGTTCCCTATTAACTTAATGGGGTCTGGTGTTCCAGAGAGAGGAACTTGCCTTTTTCACCCCTCTAGCTAATGTGTATTTTCCAGGTCTGTCTAGCCTGCACTAAGACAACTGAGATAAAAAACAAAGCCAACAACCAGCACAAGAGCAGCTGGTCGGGGCCACTGCTTCTGTAATGAGTGGATTTGATGTCTGCAGTAGTAATGGATGAGGCTTTTTGGATATTATCCAAAACTGTGTCTGCAGAAGTACTCTGAAAGCACTTCTGCTTTTTATTAGCTGTGAAATAAGACCAGTGGCCTAATAACATTGGCATGCTTGACAATACCATGATATTCAGTACGGATCTTAAGGGTTTTAGCTTTGCACAGAAACTGGAATTTGGAGGATCTTGCCACCTTTTGGGCAAGAAGGAGGGAATTCAGTCTGAATTTTACCCCACCTGCTGTCTAGGATTCCTGGTTTATCATCTGTTGGCATTTTTTCCTTTCAGCAGCAGAATGCTTGTGTGCTTAATGACAGCCTTACATTCTCAGCATTTGGATGTGAAGAGAACTTGGTGGTGTTTAAAGAAGCTTGCAGACCTTTTGCTGTGGGCTCGTGCTGTTTCAGGAGATGAGGACGTTGTTTGTGTGCTGCGTTTGATTTTGGCATTTGAAATCTCATTCATTCTACATAATGGGGGCACTTATCTACCAGGAAAATATCACCAGGATCTGGGGGAATGTTGTAAAATACCACAGGATCTGTGCAGCCTCAACATCTCTTCTGAAAAGACTTAATTGCACAGGCTGGCTTGGGCACCTAGATTACATGCTGCTGTGTTGTGCATCCACTTAGTGCTGAATCACGGTGCAGATGCTTGTTAAATGAAATCTCATTAACCACTGCTATGGTGAGGAAAGGATACGTTATATGCAAGTTGAGTGTCCATAGATATATGTACACACACACATTTTGTATTTTATGACAAATTGAATATGAATGTATGCTGCTGTGTTGTGAATGTAGCACCTTTGGTTTATTCTGCTTTATAACATCTTGATGCCCAGATGCCCTTCTGTTATTACTGAAGGATGTCTTCATCAACAAAAAAGGGCTGAGGAGGAGAGAACTGAGAACTTCATTTCCTTGGGTTGTCTTTGGTGCAAATAGGTTTGTGAACGTGGTTTTTTCTGTGAGCCAGCAGGGAAGGAAAGCATGGGGAAGGTGCTCCGTTCCTTGGGGATCACTGTGTTCAGGAATGCATTTAGGTCATGGGGAATAATCCATCAGGCCAGACAGATTATTAGATTTACTGTGGAAGTAAACAGTTGGCTGTGTCCCTAAATCTTATCAGTTGTGCCTAGAAGCCCAAACAGACTTCTCTGAAGTATTGGTTTTCATCTGGGTGCTGTGGCTGAATGAGAGGAAGGCAGCCAAGCTGAAAGCTTCCTTTTTCTGCCTTCGTTTTGCTTTGTGCTCCGTTCTACTTTCAGTCTCAGGCTGGGAGGCTTTAGCCAGGGCTCGAAGGGGGAGAAGACATTTCAGCTGCTCTGACAAAGCTGGAAAATAAATAAAACTAAAAAAAAATATACAGGATGCAGCAGAAGAACTGAATTTGAGTTTTTGTTGCATTTCTTAAGGTACTGTAGCGATGATTCAGGTCACACTAATTGGTAGCTGTTAAAGTAGGAAAGAATGTGGTTTCATAGCTATGGGGCTGTAATTTTAGAGCACAACCTGCTTAAAATTTGGAAGAATGTGCCCTGATCTCCTCCTTGAGAGCATTTTGGGCTGTGGCACTAATACAGGAACACGAAAGGCTTCTGTGTTGGCTGAGTTCCTTCCTCACAGTCTTGGATTACTTTGGGGTGTGCTGAAGTGCTCATCTTCCTCTGTCCATTTCCACTGGAATAACTGAGGGCAGCAGATCCTGAATACATCAGCAGGAAGAAATTATTCTTTCCTCTTGTGGGATCTGTTCTTTGTTTCTAGTTTTGCTGGCTTAGCCATGCATCTTTTACAGGGGAAGAACACTGCTGCTCAGACTTGTTGCATGCGTTTTTCTTGCAGGTTTTCTTGAGCTGGCTCTTCCAGCAAAGGTTTAAAAGAAAACCACCAGCAAAAAAACCCCAAAAATGAATTCAAAATAGAGTCTAAGGGTATATGAGCACCTCAGGTTAATAAAGAGGCTGAATCACCTCTCATGTATTGTGGTATCTGTCAGACTGCAGTGATTCCCTGACTCTCCTTGGAAGGCACAGCATTCAGGTGGGCACAGCATGGTGGCCTTCCCTCATCATCTGCTCGGTGTAGGAGCTGGGCTGAGAATCTGACTGGTTTTTGTTTTTATTTTAGGGATATAGGAGGTGGTGGCCATCCTGGCATTGCAGGTCTGAGCTGTAGATGAACACACAGGCTGTCTATGTGATGTTTCTCTGAAGGTGCCTTTTTGCATTGCTGTTGACATCTGTACCTGTTGAATTATACATTACGTGGAGAGGAATAGCTGCAACTATGCTGTACACTGAGTGCTGAGTAGGAAGCTGATGTTGAAAAAGGGCCTTTTGGTTAAGAGAAACGTGGATGGAGTTACTTGACAGCAATCTCATGCCTACAGCTCTGTCAGAAGTGCTCACGAATGTGACCTTATGAGAACCTGCTGGGGAATTGCAGGAATCCAGTGTGAGTCACAGGTTGTCCCATGTGGAAGACTTGATCCCCAGTAGTACGAGGCTGCATGGGCACTAAGTAAGGCATTCATTTAATAATAATAACAGAAAAATGTTGCTAACGATGCTTGGAAAAGCCTGCGATGCCTCTATGGAAACAGAAGGCCCAGTTGCTCTGCACTGTGTTGGTTTTCTGCCTGTCTCCTAGAGACAGCACTGGCTTCCTCCTTTGTTTGTGGCTGGCTGAGTCACGTCCTGGGGAGCATCATCCCGCTCTGCTCCAGCCCTGTGCTGGGCAGGTGTGAGCAGCCCAGAGCCCCATCACCATAATGACTTCCTGTTATCACTGGGACTAAGGGGTAGATGTGGTCAGGTCGTTCATTTTGGTAACTCTGATGGAGAAAAAACGATGGAGGAATTCTTAATTAGAGCCCGTTGTTGTGAGCTGGGAAGATGGCACTGCAGTTTGTCTTCAGTTCAAAGCCCTCCACATTTCTTTCCTTGTGAAGTCAGGTCACACACACACAATTCTAATGCTGTTCTCATATGCTTGCAGGTGTATGTGTTCCTCCTTTGAACCTTTTCTAGTGAAATTAGTAAGAAAAACACCAGAACTCTAGGCAGCAAGGAAATAAATAAAATCTCTTAGGTATTGGATAGATTTGGAGGATGTTATAAGCAAACTTATCACAGCCATCTGTTCCTCCTCCCCATCCTTTGGCTGCAAACTCTTTGCCATAGGTTGTTGTGCTGCCCTACTCCTGGCAGCTGTGGGCAGTGTAATGCTTCTTGCTGCTGGAAGCTATGTTGAAAACTGACAGCACAAATATCTCCTGGAAGAGCTGCAGATCCTGTAGACATCAGTGGGAGGCTGAGAATGTATTCATGGGGGGGAGGTTGTTGCAAAATGGGAAAGGCATACTCTAGGGAGTAACTGCTGTTCTGTGATAGTGGTTCTGTGGGAAACTTGTTGTAAGTTTTGTTCTGGATCAGGCTAAAATGCAGGAAAACAGTGCAGGTACACAGTGAGAGTTCTGGAGTCAGTGGGCACTGATTGATTCCAGACTGCATCCAAGCTGCTGTGCACTCATTGGTTTTACAGGTGGGTTTGAAGTAAGCGTTCTAAAGGGTGCAGATCTTTCTGTTTTGCACTTTGTGAATGAATTACAGTGCATTCTTGCCTCATTGCTGCTAAAAAGGACCTGCACTCAACTATCTTTTTTAACCTTCTTACTTGTCAGGAGGTGGATGTTGTGGTAGCGCCGTGTCGTGGATTCCAGTCTGCTGAAGCCACCCTGGGAGAGTACATGAACCAGGTCTTGCTTGTTGTCATCTTTGCCATCAGCGAGGCTGAACTTTCTTCATCAGATGAGAATGAACTGCGTGAAATCAAAGAGAAATTCTCTTTGCCCATTTTCTTCTTCAAGGTGCCAGAGTCAGGAGTTGAGCTGATCTCTCCTAAAAAAACTGATAACGAAAAGTCCTCACTTTACTGCCAGCTGATGGACTTGGAGTACCTGAGCACCAACCACTGCAGCTGCGGGGCGCCCGGCCCTGATGCTGATGCCCAAAGCATGCTGGTGGAGCAGCTGGAGAAGCTCCGTCTCCTAAGCACTTTTTCCAGGCAGGTGCTGCAGAGGCATCTCGTGGAAGCAGCCACCAGTTTAAACGAGGTTCACTGCCGTTGCCTCAACATCTTCATCAACCAGGCTTTCGACATGCAGCGGGACCTGCAGATCACCCCCAAGAGGCTGGAGTACACCCGCAGGAAGGAGAACGAGCTCTACGAGTCCCTGATGAACATTGCCAACCGAAAACAGGAGGAGATGAAGGACATGATCGTGGAGACTCTTAGCAGCATGAAAGAAGAGCTCTTGGAAGATGCTGCTAATATGGAATTCAAAGGTAAACTGCTGGCGGGAGAGCGATTGGAGCAAAGTGCTTGGGGATGTTAATCAGAGCGACGGAGTAACAGTTGATGTTTCCTATGGGATAACTGATAGGAGTCTAGACTGCAAGCCAATTCAGACCTAGTACACAAAGGATTTGTTTCTGTAGTAGAAAGCGCTGCTCTTAAATCTGAGGCTTGAAAATATGAAGTTTCATATTTCTTATGAACCAGGCACTTTTTTCCATTCTAGCTTGCTGGGCAGGATATTTTAATCTGTTTTAATTCCCTCTTGTGCAGAAGAAGAAAATGTCTCAGCTTCACTTCAGAAGGTGTGTTGGGACTTGGGAATAGGTCTGTCCTAAGATAAAAAGCTGAATTTTAACAGTGTAGACTTGATGGGGTTTTTTTGTCATTTTTGCTTGATTTCTTTGAGAGATCTGCATTACACTTTGGAGTGTAGACCCTCCTAAAATGAAACCCTTTCAGATAGCTAAGGTTTTCCTTCAAAAACTTTAATGCACTGTTCTCTTGAGGCTGCACTTGGCCTTTGGTGCGTGCTTTTGGGAAATGTGGGAATCCTCACTGCATCTTACAGTACCAGAGTGTCCAAGAAAAGGAAAACAAGCTGGGGGAACACAGATCTGTGTAAGCTGTGTGAGGGCTGAGGTGCTAACCACATCTTGTCTCCAGGTATACAGGGCTTGTCATAGATTTCAAAGGGACAATTTGTGCACTGATGCTCTGCAGCTTTTTTCTCTTCTGCTTACGAAGCAGGGGCTTAATATATCATTTCTCTTCAAAGGAAAAGCAGTTCACTGGGCTGATAAGGAAAGAGATTTGTACTCCAAGTCAAAAACAACTCTGGGCTATTGACGTAGAATTGGAGTGATCTGATGAGATGTGAGAGGCCAAAACTCCAGATAACTTTGATTTATTTTCTCTGAATTTCAAACTGGAATGTTGTGTCCCGGGAGGAAGAGGAGAAATGAAGAATTGTTTATGCTGCGGGTTAGGATGTGGATGTTTGTGCTTCTGGAGGTGGGAAATGGATAAGATCCTCCCTGTTTGTTGTAATGTTTGCTTGGTGTGAAAATGTCCTCCTCAAAGAGCTTGTTCTGACTGCAGCATGAGGTTATTTGCATTCGGGGGGGGAAAAAAAGGCATGTGCTAAATGTACAGTTGTTAATTCTCTCCGTTTAATGATGCTATTACTCCACAGACAGGCAAAAATCATCTCTGGTATTCAGTTTGTCCCATTAGAAGAGATACCCACTTACACAGAGTTGAAGCACAGCACAAGAAAGCACTGGCTTCCTCGTTTGTATCCACAGATAACCAACAATGGTGTTCTATTAGGAGTGAAGCATCTTGCTGGCTCTCAGTATTTGCAGTGCTATCTTAGAAGGAGGATGGTGTTACTTTGAGGAGCTGATGCCATCTGCTGATCACGGATTGGTTTTTAGTCTGGGCTGTTGGCCAAAATCCAGAGACAAATCCTCCACTCCTCATAGTAACGTAACACTCTTTGGCCTGGTTGCAGTGCACTGTGTGTGATTGCTCTGTATTTGTTTGAAAACACTAAGAGTTGATCAACCTTTCCAAGGTTAGAGGAGAAAAAAACATCATGTAACCACCATTACTTCCTAACATCTGATGTCCAGCAGTGCTTGTTGCTTGCAGAGTCTGCTGACTTGCACTTCTCTGTTGTTTCTTTGCCTCACTTAAAATGCTGCTGGCTTCAGGTTACTTTATCTGGGTCTGAAGCAAATGATGGACCTCTGTAGGAGCAGAACAGTGGAAAAAAGTGCCTTTGGAGCAGAAGCTGCCCGGAGCGGTGTTGTGCTGTAGCTGTTTTGCAGAGCATTCACAGCAGCTCTCTGTAGCCCTTGTTGCAGTGGTGCTATGCCAAGTACAGAAGATGCCTCTTTTTCTTCCATGCAGATATCATAATTCCTGAGAACGGGGAACCTGTGAGCTCCAAGGACATCAAGTGTTGCATTAAACAAATCCAGGAACTGATTATTTCTCGGTTAAACCAAGCAGTTGCCAACAAGTTAATTAGTTCAGTGGACTATCTGCGGGAGAGCTTTGTAGGTACTCTGGAGAGATGCCTGAAGAGCCTGGAGGAGTCCTGGGAGGTTTCAGTCCACCCTGCGAGGAGTTTGGAGAAGTCAAAGGATGTTTCTGTACACATCACAAGCAATTATCTCAAGCAGGTACGGGGGCTCAGCTGGCAAATAGGACACTAGGATGTTCTAGTTTCTTTTACTCTGACACTGCAAGGGTGGGAGGAAATGGAGAGCTGGGGGGAGCACAGCTTTGAGGCGCCCGGTGGAGCCTGGGTTATTAAGGGAGGTGCTAAAACTTGGTTCTTAAATTGTCACTTGCAGGCCTAGCACTTACCCTTCCTAAATCTGTATGAAGTGATTAACTTGCAGTCCAGGAACACTTAGGAGCTTAATAAAAAATTAATGATTTGAATCAAGTGAATTCCATCCTTTATTTTCCCATTTTACCGTGAGCACAGCTTGCAAAGTTCATCTTTCCCCTGCTTTCCAGATACTGAATGCAGCCTATCATGTTGAAGTCACATTCCACTCTGGCTCAACGGTAACCAGGATGCTGTGGGAACAGATCAAACAGGTTTGCTTATCTCTATTACTTCTAGTAGGCATTATTGTGTAGTGAGGTGTTTTTCAGAGCAAAATACTTGAATATGTCTGGCTGCCCTCTAAATTTAGACCCTGGGCATTTGCCTTGGAAAGCTATTGCTTTCTCTCTGCATTGTGAGTATAGTTTATTCCTGGGAATGCTAATATTTAATTTAAAGCAAATGCCTCTTTAATATTGTTTCCTTCTGTTCTGAAACAGCAAAGGAATGAAGAGTATTTTGAAACATTTACTGTTTGTATTTTGGATAATTGCCTTGATTTTATTTTTTTTCTTGTGCTTTGCAAAGTCTTGATTCAGTTCAGTTCACTGTTCTCCATCTAAGCAGGCTAGACTGCCTTGGGTCTTTGTTTTAGCTTTGTCTTCATGCATGCTTCACAAGTCTCTGCTCCAATAGCTGTCGCTGATCTGTACTGCCTTCTCTATCTTGAGTTCCTTCTATGGGTGACTGAGAGGAATGTGAGTTTTCCCCAAATAGTTGCAATGTGGACTGAGTGGTAACAAGCCTCCAGATTTGTTTTGCTTATTTCTGTTTTTTTTTTTCTTTTTACTAGATAATCCAACGCATTACGTGGGTCAGCCCACCTGCCATCACCAGTGACTGGAAGAGGAAAGTTGCTCAGGATGCTATTGAGAGCCTCAGTGCATCCAAGTTAGCCAAGAGCATTTGCAGCCAGTTCAGGACCAGGCTGAACAGTTCCCATGAAGCTTTTGCAGCTTCCCTGCGGCAGGTGAGTATGAGGAGATGTGAAGGAGAGCTTTCCAAGGGTGGCAATGCACAAAACAAGAAGATTTTTAATTGTTGAAAGAGTAATCTGTGCAGTTAGTGCTGCTGTTGTGAAGGTGGTAGAGCTGATGTGAGCATCCAAGTACAAGATCCTACTTTTAGAGATGCTTTAAGGAGGATCCTCGACCTTGTTACTCTGAGGGCTTTACACCAGGCAGGATGACAGTGCATGGGTGATATCTCTTGCAGTTAGAAGATGGCCATTCTGGCAGGCTGGAGAAAACAGAAGACCTGTGGCTGAAGGTGAGGAAGGATCACGCCCCTCGGCTGGCACGACTGTCGTTGGAGAGCAGGTCCCTGCAGGATGTGCTGTTACATGGTGAGCAATGCTTCATGTTCTGCGTTCTGTTCTGTGCCTTCCTACTTCTGAAGCAGTCAGTGGGTAGAAAGGGGTGGGAGGCACCGTTCTGCTTTGCACTTCAGTGCTTCAGTGAGCCTCCATCTGACATGTGCTGAGTACCTCGAGTTGCGCAGCTCCTAGCCTGCGAAAAGCTCTGGCCTACCAGCCTGAGAGCATGCTTTGTATGTAGCAGGAAGGAGTAAACATGCTTTGATTTCTGATTAAAAGGATATTATGCCCTACAGGCAAACCAAAGTTGGGCCGTGAGCTGGGCCGAGGACAGTATGGCGTGGTCTATCTGTGTGACAGCTGGGGAGGGCACTTCCCCTGTGCACTGAAATCTGTTGTTCCTCCAGATGAGAAGCACTGGAATGACCTTGCACTTGAGTTTCACTATATGAGGTATATTTCACAAGTGTTTTTCTTCATTCCTTATGGATGTCCTTAAATTCACTGCTACAGACGACCACTATTTGCATAGGCAGAATCTTGTTTGCTATTTTTCTACTTTGCACTCAGCGCATTGACCTCTTGAAATGCTAAGCTGCAGTTTCTAGCAGATGCAAGACAGCTTCTCAGTCTCCATGCAAAAATGTGACAGGCACAGAATGGTGAGCAGGCAAGCTCTTTCCTGTCTTAATCTGATTCCCTGGTGTCTGCACTGTTCAAGTGCTTGCTGATTTTCAGTTAATTAGAATTAATGGAGTATGATACAAGCAGTTCTTCCTTCCCTGATTTCTGGTGTTGAATCAGACCTTCTTTTCCAGTCTCTGTCCTTTCTGAGGTAACTGTCCTACTGTATCTTACTTCTGTAGTACTGAAGTCACAGCTATTGGTCACTTTTCCTCTAGAAGGTGAGGTCTGGCCTGGGGTGCAGGGAAGAATGGAAGAATGGTCACCTTTCTGTGCTCAACTTCCTCCAGGTCTCTGCAGTCACACGAGCGGCTCGTGCACCTCCATGGCTCTGTGATAGATTATGGCTATGGAGGAGGCTCCAGCATTGCTGTCCTACTGATAATGGAACGGTTGCACAGAGACCTCTATACAGGACTGAAGGTAACAGCAGTCTGTGTATTTGCCTTTTTATGTATTCATTAATAAGAGTGTGATGTGGCTACAGAAACATCCTTACTGGCGTTCAGGGGGTGGTAAACAAGACTACTGGTTCTCAGCCTGGTCTAAGTATTGCATTGGGAAAGTAGTAACAGTAGCTCCTGTTTCTGTTGCTGGAATTCTTTTCTTTTTCTTTTTTCAAGAGGATGATCTTGCAAGAGTTAGAATTGAATTTCAGTATTTTCTCGGTGAATAAGAATAAGCATAACTCCTTCTTGTAGGAACCAAGTCTGTGTGTTTATTCTGCAGGCTGGGCTAGAATTAGAAACACGATTACAGATTGCCTTGGATGTGGTTGAAGGCATCCGTTATCTTCACAGTCAGGGACTTGTGCACCGGGATATCAAACTTAAGAATGTCTTGGTAAGGAAAACTTTTGTGTCTGACTGATTTCAAAGTCTTTTTGGACTCCCTTTAAGCAGGAGGGGAAGCGTGCTATAAAATGCCACAGCTTATTTCATGCAGAGTCTTTTAACTTGTGATGTCATCAGCAACATCTGGCCTTGCAGCAGGGCTTCCCCAACTCTGTTTCAGTCAGGATGGGGGAAGGGAGTGGTGGAGGCTCACCTGAAGGTACAGAGCATGAGCTAGCAGTAGGACTTCCATTGCTTAGCCTTATTAAACCCAAACCACACCCTGTAGAGGACAAGTGAAGGTGTGTTTTGTTGCTGAGCTTACCTAGGTCGTGTTCATGAGCAGCCAAGCCATCAGGGAAGCCTCCTTAAGAACAAACCTTCGATCCTTCAAACACCAATCGAAACCATAATAATAAAAAGCAGTAATAAAACTGAGAACTGTGATTCACAGCTGTCTGTGTGTGAATTCCTCTACAGCTTGACAAAAAGAATCGAGCCAAAATCACTGACTTGGGGTTCTGCAAACCAGAAGCCATGATGTCTGGCAGTATTGTAGGCACACCTATTCATATGGCTCCCGAACTTTTCACAGGTATGCATGCTGACTGAATCCACTGCTGTCTCACTCTGGCTTGAATTTTGAAAGCCATTATGCTAAATTAATCCATCAACTTTCTCATGAAGAGAAAAATAATAACTTCAAAAAAAATCAAATAAAATCAGAGGACCGCATGCTTACAATGCATCGTATGTGTTGGGTTTTGTGCATCTCAAATCTTTGCTTGTATGAAAGAACTGTGATTCAGAAACTTTACTGAAATGGTTAACACTCATTGGAAAGTGAAGCTGCATTTAATTTGGGAAGTATTATTCAGGTGGTTCTTGCTGCTAACACTGAAATACTTGTTTGCCCTGCTGATGACATGTATTTTTGTCACAGGAAAATATGATAACTCAGTGGATGTTTATGCATTTGGCATTCTGTTTTGGTACATTTGTTCGGGACACGTGAAGTTGCCAGAGGCTTTTGAGAGATGTGCAAGCAAAGATCACCTTTGGAACAACGTTAGGAGAGGTAGGAATGGCTTATGTTGAACTCTGGGTGATGCTTTGTGTTTGTGTAAGATTTGAGAGAGGAGGAAATAATTGTCCTCTTGTAACTGGAAGGTAAGAATGCAAGTTTCTGTCACTGACTGCTTAAAGACTGACATTTGTAATTAAATTTGGGCATATTCTACTGAAAATCTAACAAATCAGCAGGGATGAAATGAGCAGGCTTTCAGTTCCCACCTGTGACACTGTGGCAAGAAGGTGGTTGTGCTAACTAACAAACCATGTAAACCCTGTGTACAATATTTATGATGGAAGCTGGATGCCAGAATTAGCCAACCACTGCATGATCCCTTCAGGAATGCTTAATCTCTTGCAATTTCTGGAGGCCCTGGTGATCTGTACGTTCACATGTTGAATATGCAGCATGCTGGGAAAGCTGTCACAGGGCTGGATGTTATGTGACAGATTGGCAGCTGTTCCCCAAAATCTAAACTTACTCTCATTTATACCTCTGTATGTGTGCTAAACAGCACAGAACTGTATTTTGTGGTAGCTTCACCCTTAGTGCTGCATCACAGGATCAGGATGTTGTACTACTTTGTGTCCTGAGTTGCTGTCCATATAATCTCTGCCCTTCTCATGTGAAAAAGATTAATGCAGATGAGTGAGATTTGTGTTTGGTCAAAAGGCTGCACTCACTGCTGCTTCTCAAGAACTTGCTCCCCAAAATACCATTGAGAGTGTATTTGGGGGGTGATGGGAAGGACACATTTCTTTTTGAATGGGGAGAGTATTCATTTTGCTCCCAAATAATCACGAAGAGGAGGCTGCAGTGAAATCCTGGCCGTCCTCTGGAAGGCTGTGGGCTCCTGATGTACTCCAGCAACGCTCCCAGGGCTGACTCAGGAGCCTTGCTGCAATGTAAACCTTTATCAGTAGCATTAAACAGTCCGCTGTGGTCGCTTCAACCTGCACCAAAGTAATGGACATCAGACACAGAGATGCTGTCCTGTGTGATGGTGACTGGGGTCCCTTTCTGTTTCCCAGGAGTTCGCCCAGAGCGCCTTCCTGTGTTTGATGAGGAATGCTGGCAGCTGATGGAAGCCTGTTGGGATGGAGATTCCTCCCAGCGCCCTCTCTTGGGGATTGTCCAGCCTATGCTGCAGGGGATCATGGACAGGCTCTGCAAGTCGAGCTCTGAGCACCCAAATAAAGGGTTGGATGACTCTACTTGAAAAGGAAGAGCGGAAGGAATTTTGAATTGTGGGAGAATTCTGAACCCCTAACTCTGCAGATGGCTTCTTCAGATGCAGCTCTTTGTGGCTAACATGAGCGGGACAGGTAACAGCAACCAGAAGATTGCTCGTAGAGGTGAGACCTTGGGGATGTTCCATCTCGAGCAGCAGCCAGAGACATCTCCCCAGCACACCCCATTGATGCTAGTTTCCCTGCTGCAGCTTTTATTACGGAGTTGTGCGAGTATACGATGGGAAAAAAAGAATCCACTCCCCTGAACTGAAAGGGATTTTTTGCCAATCCCACGCCAACACCAATCAAACAAAAGCATCCTGTGTGCTTGGGTAGCATCTGCGTTGCTAGGAATTGATTGCGACAGTCTTTACTGAGTAAAGTAACAGCTCTCTTCCCATGAACTGATGGTCCTCGGTGGCCTTCAGTCCACACATAACTCTATCCCAATCACTGAGATTGGCACCAATTACCGTGCGGTCAGAGGAAAGAGAAAGTAGAGGCTTTAGGCTAGAAGGTGTTCAGAAGCTGAGAGGATCTGTGTCTGTATTAGCTTCGTGCAACACTCCAAATGTTTACATTGACAGGAGCAAAGCTTCCATGTTTTACCTAAGGGGGATTATCTACTGTTCCACTGCAGTTAAAAGACCCCAAGTTATAAGCTATTTATCTCTTATGAACCCTTCACCTCTTAGTTCTGTAAAACAAACTCTTATCTGCTAGTTTTGGTTCATAATGGTTATCTGAATGTCTGAAGAAACCTGACCTTTCTTTTCACAGTCTTCTGGTAAAATGGAAGACTGCTCAGATTGCATAGCACAGAACCTTAAAGTCATTACATCTAATGACTGTCCATGGGGAAAATGCCAATTCATTTTAATTCCATTTGGGGCTCAAATTAGTTGTGATGGCAAAGACAGTTTTAAATTGTACTATGACAGACTTTTTTTTTTTTTTTTTTTAAAAAAAAAGAGGTTTCTTCAGCTTTTATATGATTTCACGTGCGTGGTGAGAACGTAGTCGAGGGAAAACAGGTCATGCACTCTTCCTCAGTAGCTTTTGTGTGTCCATTCATCTGATTGCTTCACTCTGGGGTCTCTAATTTGGCTCTGTTGGTGCCCTCATGAAGTGGCTCACTCTCAAATGTTCTTGCCCCTGTGTCTTTTGCATTTCTGGGCAACAAACCTGTGGGGTGGAGGCTGAGATTAGAAACTGCACCTTGTTTACTGCGTGAGGAAATAGAGTGGGCAAGTTGTCACTGTGTTTCCTCTTCTTCCCAGCTGCAGGGGATGGGCACCCAATGGCTTTGTTTCCCAGGGAAGCTGGCATAGTGCATCCAGAACTGTAGGCACGTGGAATTACTGCACCTTGTTGCTGGAATTTATTGGCTAGTGCATAACAAAATTACAACTGATAATCTGCTTGTTAAACAGCTTGAGCAAAGGAAAGGGATACGTAATCCTGCAGTAGTAGTTTAGTTTAACTCTTTCCTTCTTTGTGCAATAGACAGACTTAATGCTTTTTTATATTAAAAAAACAACTTTTTTTTTTACTTGCCTGCACACATTGTAAGCATTTTCCAGTCTGTGATGGCATTAACAATGTGGCTCTATACAGACACATCTATGGCTGCTCCAGCTGAAGGTGCAGCAGCCAAAACTGCATCTGCAGAAGAACAAATGCTTTTCCAAAGTAGAATTGCTGGGCATCCCCCTGCCCTGGTGCACGTTCATGCCACCCATGACACTAATAGTATTAACTCCTTTACTGTGCGTGGTGGTTGTAACCTTATTTAAAACAAGGAGAGTCAAGGTCAGTCTCTTGCAATTAATAGATATAACTTGTGTAAATAAATGTGTGAATAAAACTTAAATCTCTGTATATGCAATTCTAGAAACTTCTTGTATAGCTTTCCCCACATAGCCATTCCCAGACACTCCTCTGCTGCCTTTTCCTTGCACTTTGCAGCTACTTTGTCTTGTTTCCATTTAGTATGTTTTCTTGCATGTGCAGCATCACAGCTCAGCAGGTTTTCCCAAACTTTGCACTGCTTTCTCTGCACTTTTTCCCATTGACTATGAAGTTCTTCCTGAGAGGAGAGCTTTCACAATTGCTCTTTAAAATGTCTCCAACCCCCCCCCCCCCCCCCCCACACTCTTTTTTTTAAGAGTAAGGTGACCAAAACTAATAGGAACTGTATTAAAAGGTCCTGCTACGTGTAACCACTGCCGCCTGTGTGGGATGGCAGGCTCAGATCAAGAATGGCCATCCCACACCATAACACCTCTCCTGGAGCTCTGTCCTGCTCCAAGGGGATTTTAGATGCAAGCTGTAGGATTGTAGATGCAAGCTTTCTTTGCACAGGTCAGGGAGGAGTTTAAGTGCTCATAGGGACCCATAGGAAGCAGCAGTGGAGCTGCGAGGTGCGAGAACACAGTGCCAGGTGCTGAGCCTTGCTCTGCCAGCACTCAGCCTTCACTTGCAAACACTACGGAGGAAAAGGAGCTGGGAGCAAAGGCTGAGGATGGCACAGGGCTGAACGGCCAAAGCCCTTCATTCAGAGGCTCCTCCTGACACTAAAGGGCTGCGGATCTGCTCCCTCCCAGCCCTCGTTACGGACAGCCCGTGGCCTTCAGCTCTGAAGCAGCAAGCAAATAGGAACTGTTGTAGACCCCGTGTATTTTGTATTGCTTTTCTATGTTACAGTGCTCTGTATTACGGCGTTATAACAATGTAACGAGCTTACCGGGCGCCTAAGAGGAGAGAAAAAAAAAAAGTGCAATAACCGGAATCGTCTGCCCTGAATCGTTGTATTTTTACTTTGGTTTTGTACTAACCGTGTTTCCGTGCTCTAAGAGACGCGGCCGTGAGTTCAGCCCTCAGCGCCGCTCTCAATAAACCGCTGGGTCCGCAATTTCTGTCCGTTCCTTTCGCGTCCCGGAACTCCGCGCTGCGGTCGCGGCGTCCGCCCGGACCTTCCGTGTGCGCACGCGCGGGGCTGCCCGCCGCACTGCCTGAACGCCGCCTCTCCGCCCGCCTGAAAGCACCGGAAGACAGAAAGCTCCGAGCCTCGCCGCTCAGTGCTGGGACGGGCGTGAGCCGCGTTTTAGCGGTCTGATCGCGGAGCCGGCGGTAGGAAAAGCGAAGGGTTTCGTCAGGCGGATGCCGAGGGCAGCCCGACGCGCGGAGAAGGCCCCCGGAGGGGTCCTCGGGTGACGGAGACGGACGGAGCGGGGCGGCGGCCGCGATGAACCTGGAGCTGCTCGGTGGGGCCGGGAGCGGGGCTGGGATGTGGGCGGTGTGGAACCGGGGCTGTGGGAGCCGGGTGGGACGGCCGGGCTTCGGGGGCGCGCCTCGCTCAAACGCTGCTTTTGCGTTCCGTTGCAGAATCCTTCGGCCAGAACTACCCCGAGGTAAGGGATCGCCCGCCCCGCGGGGCTGCCCCGGCCCGCAGCGGCCCTGCGCAGCGCCCTGACCGCCCTCCTTTCATCTCAGGAAGCCGATGGCACGTTGGACTGCATCAGCATGGCCCTGACCTGTACCTTCAACCGCTGGGGCACGCTGCTCGCCGTGGGCTGCAACGACGGTCGCATCGTCATCTGGGATTTCCTCACCAGGGGAATCGCCAAAATCATCAGCGCCCACATCCACCCCGTCTGCTCGCTCTGGTAAGGGAGCGCTTCGTATTTGCTGCCGCTTGGTGTCACACCGCTGGCTCGGGCTGCCAGGGGCTCAGCCTGGCCCTTCGGGGATGGGGCTCCCACACTCCTCAGAGTAGCAGTGCCTTCTGAGTAAAAGACTTCAGCCCAACATCTGACCTAAATCTCTACCCTTAGTTTAATACCATTCCCCTTTGTTTTGTCTGTTTCAGACCACGTAAAAAGATGGTCTGTTTCAAGATAATTTCCTTTAAAAGCGTTTGAAAACGTGAAACGCCCGTGAAATCTTCTGGTTACTAGAGTTCAGAAGTTGGTTTTCAAGCCAACGGATTCGCAGCCAAACCTTAATATGAGATCTGCTAATTTAACACACCAATTAGTGGATGCTTTTTATGTATCGAAGGAGTAGCTTTTACTTGAAGTGCCCCTTGTTTCTATAGCTGGAGTCGGGATGGCCACAAACTAGTGAGTGCCTCGACTGATAACATCGTGTCGCAGTGGGATGTGCTGTCTGGGGACTGCGACCAGAGATTCAGATTTCCTTCACCTATCCTGAAAATTCAGTATCACCCTCGAGACCAGTAAGTCCTGTGGAAAAAAAACCAATGCTCTCATTTGGGTAGAATTAATGATTATGAAAGTGTTTTGGCTGGAGCTTGAAGTGCTTTTCCTAAACCTGGTAGATCTTTTCAGGTTGTCTTCTTTATGCAGTGAGGGCCCTGACTTGGATTTGTTGTGGCTTTCTGGATGTCCTCTGTGAGTGGGGCCCTAATGTGGATTGCTTGTGGCTCTTTTTATTTTGAAAGGAAGGGAGGAAAGTAAACATGGGAGCAATCCTTAGAACTGGGTATAGAAATGCCTTGTTGAATTTACAAGTTACTTCACAGACATAAAGAAGCCTTCAGAAATAGAAAGGAAATGAAAGCAGACGCTGGCTTGATGCCATTTTGTAGCGTAAGAAAGAAAGGCCGGATGAAAGACTGAATAAAAGCTGGTGTTATTCTGCCTTTCTCAATGTAGACCGACTTTTTTTTCCTGCTGCTACGTGTGGAAGCTTCTTTCCCAGAGCAGAAACGGTGAACTCTTCCGCTTTTGCTTTGCAGAAACAGAGTTTTGGTTTGTCCCATGAAGTCTGCACCAGTGATGCTGACGCTGTCAGACTCCAAACACGTTGTGCTTCCTGTGGATGATGATTCTGATCTCAACGTCGTGGCCTCCTTTGACAGGCGAGGGGAATACATTTATACAGGCAATGCCAAAGGGAAGGTGAGACTGTGGCAAGAGCACTGGATGCTGTAGCTTAGCTCACTTTATCAAGATGTGTGATGTTTGTAGGTTGCTTTCTTTTATTATACAAATGAATGTCTCTTGAATAATTGATGTGTCCTTACGATCGTCCTGGTATTTCACCTTCCTTGGTATTTCACCTTCTAAGATCTGTAGCATGTAGATCTGAGCTCTTTGTGTTGCTCTTGTCTTTGACCATATTTGTTGGATCCTTTTCCAATGTTTATGTCGCAGAAGTGTCGCAGAAACTGTAGTAGAAACTTCAGTAGCAGAGTTCCAACTATTCCTGTGTAGATTGCTGAGGCTTCTGTTGTCAGGGTTAGTAGTTATGTGAGAGGTGCTGAAAGGGGAGCGAGTAACAACGAGATGCTGATTGCCTCCTGTTTCTTTAATCTTCAGATCTTGGTCCTAAAAACAGACACTCAGGACCTCGTTGCCTCCTTCAGAGTGACAACTGGAACGAGCAACACCACAGCTATTAAGTCAATCGAATTTGCTCGGAAGGGAAGGTGAGTTACTATGGATTACACCAGGTCTTAGGAAAAAAAACCCCAACAACTTCCCACAATTATTTCCCACAACATATTCTGATTTATTTTTTTTTTGCTCTCTTTTTAATGCAATGCATGTTCTGTGGCATTCTTCCCCCAGCTGCTTTCTAATCAACACAGCTGACCGGATCATCAGGGTGTATGATGGCCGTGAAATTTTAACCTGTGGGCGAGATGGGGAGCCTGAGCCAATGCAGAAGCTGCAGGATTTAGTGAACAGGTGAGAAGCAGCAGAATGGGTGGTCAGCCTGCAGTAGAAAGGTCCACTTGCCTTGAAAACGTTGAGGTTTGTGTGTTCTGTACCTGTGGGCGCCTGCGTGAAGGGCAGCTCAGCATCTTATTCAACAGACAAACGTTTGACATTTGAAGTGTGTGAGTCTCAGTTTGATTTGAAACGTAAATATCAATGTAATATTTGAAATGTAAGCCTCCTGGAGGGAGGTTGTGGTGAAGAGGGATTTGGCCTCTTCTCCCAGGCAGCGAGCAGGACATGGAGCAATGGCCACAAGTTGTATCAGAGGAGGTTCAGGTTGGACATAAGGAAGAACTTTTTGTCTCAGAGGGTGGTCAGGCACTGGAATGGCTGCCCAGGGAGGTGGTGGAGTCGCCGTCCCTGGCAGTGTTCAAGAGGCATCTGGATGAGGAGCTGCATGATATGGTTTAGTGCTTGTGGTGGCAATGGTGATGAGGAGACGGTTGGACTGGATGATCTTAGAGGTCGTTTCCAACCTTGTGATTCTATGATATTATTTGTGGATGGGAAGATGTAAGGTTGTGGTCTGAAGAACAGTCCCACGGTCCTCATCCTCAGCATTGAAGTCTTTTATGGTTTCTTTTCTCTTTGCTTGCAGGACACCTTGGAAGAAATGTTGTTTCTCTGGTGACGGTGAATACATAGTGGCAGGTTCGGCTCGTCAGCATGCTCTCTACATCTGGGAGAAGAGTATTGGAAACCTGGTTAAAATCCTCCATGGGACCCGAGGAGAGCTGCTCTTGGATGTAGCAGTAAGAATGCTGCCAGCTATCGTTAAGTTTCTCGTTTGGAAATCTAAGCTTTCTTCATTCTGTTTACCAGTTAAGCTCCTCCTCTTTTCTCTTTCATATAAACCCAGTGGCATCCTGTCCGACCAATCATAGCTTCAATTTCCAGTGGTGTCGTGTCAATATGGGCTCAGAATCAAGTGGTAAGTGTTCAACATTGCTTCTTTTAGAGCTTTCCCTGCTGGTCTCCATCCATTCCAGTCCCAGTAGCCTGAATTATTGTACGTGGAAATCTTTTATTACCCCCAACTCAGCAAACTCTCTGGCTTCACCTGCCTAACTTGAAAGATGTTTGCCATCGTGTTGAATGTGAGTAGGGTACTTACATTTTACCTGCTGAGCTTTGTGTCAAGTGCTAAATATGATCTTGGGGATGTTGGGTGGGGGAATGGTGTCATTCTGAATGTGTAGCTGAAACACTGGAAATTGGAGTGAGCCAAAACTGCTGTGACTGAACACAAACACATCCTTGGTTTTACATTGGCTTTCATTGAAGGAGTATTGTAATGTCAGATTTTCAGCAGGAGCTCGTTTGTGCAGTTGCTAATTTGCCACGTGGCTCTATAGCTGATTGAGGCTTGATTTCCACACAGAATAAGATTGCAATTGCAGGAATCCCCAATTTGGCAGCTATTCCTTCGCACTGAGGTAAATCTCATCTTGAATTTGTGACTTAGGAAAACTGGAGTGCCTTTGCACCTGATTTCAAAGAGCTGGATGAAAATGTAGAATATGAAGAGAGAGAATCAGAGTTTGACATTGAAGATGAAGATAAGAGTGAACCGGAACAGACAGGTGCTGTAAAGCTCTTTGTTGTGGAGTTGGCCTTTCAGGTGTTACCAAATAATCGTTAGTCCAAATATATGACCCTAATAAAGATGAAAACTGGCAGCTGTGGGGATGCAAGTGGTGAATTGGGATCAGTAGGGGCACAGTTTGGCCACTTGGTGGTGCTGAAAAACTGTGCAGGGGAAAAGGCTGCAGTTACTGCAGAGAGAATTGAGAGTTTTTCCTGCTAAGGCATAGAGCTCTCCTCGTTTTTTCAGGCTTATATTTACATCACTTTTGTGTTAAAATGTAGCACTGGTTTGTAGGAACGAAGCATTAAAACAACTTCTGTCCAAGAGCTCTCAGTGAGAACAGTGCAGCAGCTGGGATTAAAAACAAAAACCTGATAGCTGCAAGGGGAAATGCCTCACGTGTGTGGTGCTGCAGTTCTCATCCCCGCATGCTCAGACATTTAAGAGCAGTCCCATTCTTTCTGAACAATTTGCTTTTTTCCTTTCTTTCCTTAATTCTTCCTTTCTCCCTGCTTCTCAGGTGCTGATGCTGCAGAAGATGAAGAAGTGGATGTAACGAGTGTGGATCCCATCGCTGCCTTTTGTAGCAGGTGAAAGAATAACTTTAAACAAAGTGTGAATACAAAACACATCACTGACATTCCCCCCCAAAGCAGCTCCCTCTGTACTCTTAGGTTTTTTGAATCTCTGCTGTAGCAGGTAGAAAGAGTTACTTGTGTGAGAAACCACTGGCAGAGAAATAGGCTCAGGGTTTGTAAATGAAAAGAAACAAGATATTAAAGACTCCCAGTTTTACAAGAAATCATAACTGTTTATTTTACAGTGATGAAGAACTGGAGGACTCCAAGGCTCTGCTTTACTTACCCATTGCTCCTGAAGTAGAGGATCCAGAAGAAAACCCCTATGGGCCTCCACCTGATGCTGTTCAGAGTTCCTTAACTGATGAGGGGATGGGATCTGAGAAGAAGAGGCAGTCGTCCTCTGATGGACCTCAGGCACCAAAGAAGAAGCCCAAAACCACCAACATAGAGCTACAAGGAGTGCCTAATGACGGTGTGTAGAAGCTGCCATTGATTCAGCGCCAGTTCTGCATTTGAGATGGTTTTTTTTTTAGCTTTGCTCAGTCCAAAGACAAAAAGTCCAGAAGTTCACTCTTTCCTATGAAGTTAATAATTATAACAGTTACTAATGGCAAAGTTTGCTGGTGTTTTGCAGGCTAGAAATGAGGGCAGACATCCCAAAGCTGTAATTTTGCATTGCACACCTCATTTAAGCACCCTGAAGGATAACAGCCTGGTAACACCTTGTTTTTTCCTGCAGAAGTCCATCCGCTGCTGGGTGTGAAGGGAGATGGTAAATCCAAGAAGAAGCAAGCAGGCAGGCCTAAAGGATCAAAAGGTAAAGACAAAGATTCTCCATTTAAACCGAAACTCTACAAAGGGGACAGAGGTGCTTTACCTCTGGAAGGAGCAGCGAAGGGTAAAGTGCAGGCGGAGCTGGGACAGCCTTTGACAGGTAAGGACCCACTGTGAGCGTCGTTGCTTGCTTGGTGGCCTTGCACTTTATCTTCCCAAATGGCCCTTGCTCGCTGGATGCCACTGATGTCACTGCTGTCAAGGATAGGCAGATGTTTCTGTATTTGTTTGTCAAGTGGAAGGGCTTTTAGGATTTGTAACAAAAGCGATGTCTGCATGCGTTGTTGCATACGAGGAGCGCGTTGGGTTTCGGTAGGGATGGCACTGGTTGAAATGAAGCCTTCCTTACAGTCTGTTTGACAATTGGAGCCTGGGATGAAATTCAGGAGCTGAATTCTTTAATCCTGGCTGTGGAGCAGCCTGAGTGGAATTCCAAGAAGTGCAATTGCTGTAAAAGAAGACAGATTTTGTTGGATCATTTTGTGTTCTTTGCTTTATGACCACGCTTTGTTGGTTGCTTACCAGAACAGGACTGTTGCTGTCACCTTTGTTAGGGCCCAGACTTTGAATCTCAGGCAGGGACTGGCTCTCAGCTGGTGGCAGTGTTTCCCATCTGTCTCATTTACTACTCGAGCTTATTTGGGAAATGCTCATTCAAGTGTAGTAAAGGAAGTACATGTTTGGATTAAATGATGTGCATTCTGTGTGGGTTTTTTTTTCACTGTAAGAGAGAGCCTGTGGTCGATACAGAAACGGATTCAAAGATGTGATGTAACTGAGATCTCAAGTTTTGCATTTCTTTGAACAAAGCAGTGCTGTGGATTTTAGACTGCACAGAATTGTTGGTTTTTTTTTGTTTTTCCCTCCTCCTTCCCTCACTGCTGATCCTGTGTTACCCCCTGTGTTTTTGCTTATCACTTCCTATGCAGTTGTTACAGTCTGACTTGCTTTTATGAGACCACTGTAGAATTTAATTTGCTAATTGTGCTCAGCTTGAGATGTTCATAACCCCATCAGTGAGTTCAGCACTGGGTTTTTGGGCAGCGGGAAGACTGAATTGGGGTTGAGTTTAGACCCCAAATTCTCTGCTTTCTTTGCCCATTGGAGGTAGTAGAGCTTTTTCAAATGTATTTTTACATAAGGGTGTTCTGCCACCATGCTGGTATTCAGCTTGATTGAGCTAGAGGCAAATAACATTGCATGGATGGAGTCCTGTCTCAGTTATTGAGCTCCCTTACACAGTGCTGCTGATTTAAAAGGATCTACCAGATCCATGCAGCAGATCCCACCACTTAGTGCTGGAAATGTCTGTGTGAGTCACACAGTGAGTCACAGACTGCCCACAGGAGGAGCTGCCCCTTGGCTCCCAGCACTCAACAACAGTCTTCTAGTCCGTGAAATCCACGTCTCTCTTGTCTTCTCTTTATGACTTGCAATGTCTATTTTGAACAGCCAGTTCTCCCTGGGGGCCAACCCACGTGCAATGCAACGGCCTCCTGCCTGCACTGCTGGAGCTGGGCACACTCCTGTCTCTCTTGCATGAAGCTGTTAGCTCTGCTCCTTCCACATGCTGCTGCTTCCTGCAGGAGCCCATCACTCACTCACACAGCCTCTCCACAGGCATTTATTCTCTGGGAGCTGCAGGCTGATTTGCTGTTACAGTGGATGTTTGGGAGCTGCTTGGCTGGGGCCTGGCAGCCAATATCTTGTTGTCAAAGCAGCTGTGTCAAAATTGGCTTTCAGTAAAAACAAACTGGGAAGCTTGATCCGTTGTACAGCTTTTAGAGCAAAGCCATGCAGCAGTCTTGTTTGACTTCAATGTAGGAGGAACTTGTTCCTTTCTGTTATGCTTTTGCTTTGAGGTTTTGGGGTCGGTGCATCTTCCCAGCAGGTAAGTGTGCTTGTGGGGTAAAAGCTCAGAGACCATGAACTGCCTCATCTGTGCCTGTGGTCTCAGATACAGAGCTCTTAATTTGTGGTAGACGTTGGTTGTATCAGGTAGATGTGGTGCCTCGTTGGTTGTATCTCATTCTGGAAGGAACGTAGAGAATCGTATTCTCAAAGGCTTTCAGTTTATTTTCATTGATTTCAGAACCTGTCGGAGCCAGATGATTTATTTTTCACCTGTCTTTGATCTCTTTAGCAGGTGGTGCCATCTCAGAGCTGTTATGAAGACCCTCTTCTTTATCCTCCTCTGTTCTTTCCCGTGTTGGCACCATAACATGGAGAACAGATGCAGCAGTCAGAACGGACTGACTTTAATACAGCAGCCTGATTGTTCATGGATTCAGGGAGTGACTTTTATAAGAGATGAGTATTGAAGAGGAAACGGCCTTCGTTCTTCCTTAATTGCCTCTTGGTAGAGCAGTGTGAGATGCTGACTCTCAGGTCACACAGTTTGCAAAGAGACTGGCTGGACTGCCTTCATGTTGGCACGTGTGATGTTCTGCACTGAGCTGGTACCCGACCCTCTGCCACTCCAGAGCTCATCACCAATTGTCTTTTAAGTCATTTTTTTGTTCCTGGATTGAAGAATCCCCAAAGTGTGCGTTTTTATTCCTGATACCAATGACTGTGTATCCTCCAAACTTCCTTTTCTTTGCTGTTAATTCCCATTCCAGTGAGTTGTGGGCCTTTCTGTGCCAGCTGCGTTGCCTTGCAGCTTTGGTTAGCTCAGTGTGATGCCTTCTATGCTGACATGCTTAGTGAAACTGCTGCTGATTATGTGCCAGGTTTGATTTCATCTCAAGTGGCTAGAGACCTAACGTGAAGAATCAAGACACCCTCTGAAGTCTGCAAAGAATGAATTTTCATGTTGTTAATATTTTAGACACGAAGGATGACTCTGCTGATGGGAAGAGGAGCGTGTGGAGGTAGCTCTGTATAAAATACAGTCTAGACAGAAGTGTATAAACTGAGTGGTATGAAGAGCACTGTTGGCAGTGTCTTTCTCTCCTTGCAAGTGTGTTTATTCTGTTTTCCATTTAAGATGCCCCACCAGGAATGCTGTTCCCTCCTTAGCTGCTAAATGCTGATACTTAGAGAAGGAACAGCCAATATTTCTCCTAACTGGAACTGTATTTTTTTTCAGCTACTCTTCCAGGGCTTAAAGATGAAATGAATAATGGTGTGATTGTAAAAGACAAACATGTGGACCATGACTTCTTAAAAATGCTCTTTTTCTTTTTTTTTCCCCCCCATTTCTGAATCAAATATAGAAGGTGAACACTCACAGCTTATTCCAGCTGTGCTTTAACCTTTCACCTGCAATATTTTCCATGTGGGATTGGGGTGGAGACGCTTCTCTCTATCTGCTATCTGCATCCAGATCTTTCTGTACCAAACTAAGCTTCCATTCCCAATGCCCTTTGTTTTGTAGAGACTTCCTAGTTCCTACAGATTACCTTCAGGTTTTCCCCAGATGCAATTATTGAGGTTATCACCAAGTATTTAGATTTCCAAAGCATCCTGCAGACATTAAAAGCCGAGGAGTCACGAAAGGAGGTGTTAATTTGCAGTGGGAAGCACGCAGTGATGACATGATACATAAGCATGGCAAGAGAGGAGACGTGTTACATCAGAAGGATTTCACAGACTGGTATTTTCGTTTCCCGCTTTGGTGCTGTGATCAGCTTGATGCCATTTGTTCCCACGTGGGCAGCATCGGTTTCCTTTGTTCTTTCTGCTCGTAGGATGGCTTGCATCTCCTGTGGAAAACTGTTTTGTCAAACCTGCCCATACGTGGCTGAATGCAAAAGCTTCACAAGGTGCACAGGCTCTCCTGGTTGTGTTAAAGCGAATTGTTTGCCACAGACTCCAGCCTTCATTTCTGTTAAACCCTCTCTGTACAGTCTGTATGTCCTTGGTTTGTTGTCTTCTCTCTTTCTGTTTTATTTCCTGACGTCTGTAGTTTTGTACAATACTGGTCAGATCCTGGCTTGGTGGTAGCATATAGCACTGGTTTAGGTTTGTGCCTGTAAATAAAGAGGTATGTTTTATTTCCTAAAGTCGTGGCTAAGTCTTGGCTTTTCCAAACTTCGTGGTGGTTTCTGTTGCGATGCTGCCAAGGAATCCTGCCCTACAGCTCTGGTGCAAACGTGTGCCTTCACCACAGCTGGTGTGTGGCTGGTTTTATTGCTCTTCTTGGTTTTTCTGCAGTGTGGCATTTGGTTGGTGGTGTCTTTACTGAAATCCCCCACGGAAGGAAGACCTGAGTGCAGTGTAGGAACCCTGAGAAGTGCTGAAGGGAACTGAACACGAAGAGTGCTGGGTGCAGAGAGCGTCTCTGCAGGAGCTGACTGCGTTTGTGGATGTTCTCCATCTCAGAAGCCGTTTTGTTTTTGCTTTTAATAGATTAAGGGCTATTGGGAAGAGAAACTTGGATATTCATTAGCCAAGCCAGTGAAGAACGTGGCATTCTAAATCCTTTCTGCAATCCATCGTTCAGACAATCTGGTTATTGACCTGGTTTGACCATAGCTCTGTTACACCATCAGAAAGAAACAACTTGATCATGGAGAGCTTTTCTCATTGCTTTGTTCTTTCGGGATGCAGTGGGGTTGGTGCTGTTGAATCCCATCTGCATCTGTTTTCCAACCCATGCAGAACCACTGGGTGCCATCAACTCTTGGGCAATGATGGGTGCCAGTGACGCAGCCCTGCTCACCCCTGATCTCTGGATGTCAAAATCTTGTTCTCATCATCTTGGTTCTTTGGGGAGGACTTCAGATTTTAGGATAAGTGTCTATAGAGCAGAGCCATACAGCTGCTATGGGCGTCATGATTTCTTTGTGCTAAGCAACATTGTTTTAGAGGTTCCAGTAATTAAGATGTATTGTTTTATGGTTTGCTGGGAAGATTGAACTGGAACAGCAGCGTGGAAATTCATCTGAAATGGCATGGAAATGTCGAGGAGTAGAAAGGAGGACTTAATAAATAGTCAAGCAGATCCCAGTTGCTGGGATACAGTGGGTTTAAACGTTCTGCTGCCTGGGAACTGGAACTCCTCATGGGTTCTGACCCACACAGTGATGTTCTGCCCCTTCCCTGGCAGTGTCATGCTTCAAACCTGCCTCGCTGGGGGATGCTGGTGAGATTTCTGTTTGAAGATTGACCAGAAGTTGTTCTGACTGCTGAATTTACACGGTGCCACGTCCGATGGCCGCCACGAAGACCTTGGGGAGCGGCTGCATCCTTGGCGCGGTGCTGCCTTGGGTTTTCTGCCTCCGGTTGGGGGCAGCTTCCTTTCCTAAAGTGACCATCCCACCAGAGCTGCAGTCAGCAGAGGCTCGCGTTGCAGTGAACGCCACGTCGTGCAGCGTCACCTGCGGCCTGGGCCTCCAAGTGGAGGAAATGTGTGAGATCACAGCAGCAGGGGAGAGGAAGAACTGCACCACGCGCCGCTCGCACTGCACCACCACGTGGGGCTGCGGTTTGCTGCACCTCACCGTCCCCGTGGGCAAACCCCTGGTGCTCAGCTGCCTGACCTCAGACGTCATCGATTTGGGCGTCAGAGGGTACAGCTGCACGTGGAAACTCGCCCCGGGTCTCATCACCATGAATGATGTTTTGTTTGCACCTTTCAGAAACCCGGGTTTCGCCGTTGCCTTTTCCCCAACCAAGGAATCTGATGCTGGGACGTACCGCTGCGACGTGCGCGTGTTGAAGACGTTCAGGGTCATCAAGAGGATCTACTTTGGGCTCAGGGTGATCCGAAATGACTTGGTGGACCTGGACTTTGGCAAATCCTTGACTCGAGAGCAGAAGCTGGCAGTCAGGAACGAGGAAGGAATCGAAGCCAACAGCACCCTTGTAGACGTGGAGGAGAAGCTGTACTTTTGGCAAAGAAAATCCTTTCGTAGATCCTTGATAGGGTTTGGAACCGGGCTGGTAGGGGTCGTCATGGTGAGCCTGGCTCTCCGCTGCTTGCAGGAGAGGTTGAGAAGCAGAGCTGCAGAGAATCAGACTCAGTTCTAGTGCGATTTCTTGCCTCTGTCTCACTTATTGTCACAAGTAGATCAACATCAGTATTGGTGCACTGTTTCACAATGAGGTTTGTAGTTACTCTCTTGGTTGGGTTGGAGAGTTTGGGGTGTTTTTGTTTTGTTTTGCAGCTCGTAACTTGGGATCCTGTTTCTCCCTCATCCTCTTGAATTTCTTCTCCCTTGCCCAGGTTTTGTGACACAGATCCCTGAGGTCGGTAGCTGGAGCAAAAGAGGTGCAGAGAAGTGAAGATGCTGCAGCTGGGTCCCTGCTGGGTCTCTGTGGTCCTTCCCAGCAGACCCCAAGGTCTGTTTTGGGGATCTGGGAGTGCTGGGAGGAGCTGAGCCGCCGCTCCCTGCCTGTTGTGTTTGTTTGTCTCCCACTTCAGAAAGCTGAAGCATCATCAGCAGTAGTTGGAAGCTTCCACTCTTCCCTTTGTAGTTCAGAACAGGGAGCATTAGGCAGCACAAGCACATCTTCAATCTGAGCACTGCAGCTCAAGGAGCGTAACGGGGTGGTTTTAATCACGACTCAGAGCTGAGCTCACTCCTAAAATCTTTAAAGGAGGAGGAGAGGGAAGAGTTCAGCGGGCCTGTGGCTCGTTTTCCTGGTGACTAATAAGTACAAAGCGTGCAGCAGCACTGTAGGGAGCATTGTTTCCCCATTGGTAGCAGAATCCGCAGAGGGACTTATTAAGTGCCTTCTCTCTCTGGTTTCTGTCTTTATTTTACAGTAAACAACTCTATTTACTCGCTCTGTTTCCTTTTTTTTTCCCTGTGAACTGAAGTACAGGAATGCACCACGCATCCAATTCCGGGGAAAGTAATGATGGAGCTCTGCTATTTAGATCAAAGCATACTATTATATTTTTTCTTCAGACCAGAAAAATAATGCTTTAATGTAGAAAGAGCTGAATATACAAGCAGACACTTTATTTGCAGAACATCCTATTGAAAGAAAACAACATCAGACCAAAACGTAGCGAGCTGAATCTTCATGTCCAATTAAGTGGGTAATGGGTATATCTGAATAATGATCTGCAGGCCGTGGGGTTGTCTGTGTTTGAGTGAGGAGCTGAGCCTGTTAGCAGCCTTGGATTCTCTGTGGGTTGTTTGCTGGGTTCTGAGGGAAGAATTCTGTGCTCGCAGCCACGGGCAGAGGTTGGTGGAGGTGAAGGGGGCCGTCCTGCAGTGCTGGAAGTTTCCCCTGGGTGTGCATTTGTTGACTGGCTCTGTGCTTTGCACCTGTTCTTAACAACAGATTTCTCATCGACTGAAACACACGCAGGGCAGGCTGCCTCTGGGCAGGGCGAGGGGGGTCAGCTCGGCTTTCTGCCCACACTTTCTCCACCCCTGAGCAAAATGCAAGCAGGGGAGACTCAGGTCTTGGTTCTCTCTTGTCACCTCATCCTCTCACCCGCAGGGAACCTCCTCTTTCCAAGCAGCAGCACTGACACAGAGCAGTGCACACCCACATTTAGGACACCTCGAGGAGCCCACTGCGTGCCGGCTGCGTTCGTCCCACCCAGACCTCTCCTGTCTGTGGCTTTTTTGATGGTGAGTGCCCCGCATCCTGGGATATGCGTGAAGCAGGCTTTCAGAGCTCATTTTGCTTCTGAATGTGAAGAAATTGAGCTCTGTATGCTACAGATACACACCACAGGAGTGAGGAGGCTCCTTTCTGCATGGGGTGAGACCTCCTCGGGTCCTGTCTGGGGCTGGAGGACCCTCTGAATAGCAGGAGCAGGCAGATGCTTCCTCTGGAGCTGGTGGTTAAAACCCACAAAGAAGCAGTCCCATCTGGAGGAGTCCCCTCACACTTTGTAATGCAAATACAGAGCTTGTTTCCTGTGGGCAGCCGGGTTTTAGAAATGCAGAAAGATGACATGAAAGGTCCAGGAGCATCCATTTCCTCAGTGCTGATGAGGAGGTCAAAGTGGGAGCCAAAGGAGTCCTTCATCTTTTGATGGTCTGCTCCCTCTTCTTGCCAAGGGGAGGCAGTTGCCCAGAGCAGGGAAGCTGAATATGGTTCTTTTAATGTTTTAAGATGGAAGGCAGTGATGGACAGCGTGGCACCAGCACCAGGAAGGGCAGAACGGGGCCTTTGGCTGCTGTTTGAAATGATGCTTTCCCTGCATGCTTTGAGGCTGCCTTCTCTCCCGTGTAACTGTTCTGCACTGCAAAAAAAACGTGTCTTTTTGCTGTTATTTTGTGCCTCAGCTTCTTTCTCCTCCATTTCAGCAGTTGTTCCTCTGTCTCACCCAGAGGAGGGGGCTGCAGAGGGGCTGCCTGCACACCCCTCCTCACACTGAGGCTCTCTATGGCACAAACTTCTGCAGCCTGCTGCTGGGCCCAGGTATTAGGAAGCAATTAGAATTGCACATGCTAAAGCCAAACAGATTGTGTGAAGGAGGAAGTCAATTTGCTAATGGCATTAGCACTTGGATAGAAGGAGGCAATAACAGAATAGTGAGGCACAGGCAGCTGTTTAAATTGCTGTTAGCTACTGAAGCTTATCTAAATTGAATAACTAGATTGCCTTAACTGCTGGAATTTGAATGGTAGCTAAGAGGAAAACAGCCCCCATATGCTGCTTTTACACCCAGCCTGGCTCTGCCATCCTCTGCACGCTGATCTGTGTTAATTCTTTTGCTCAGTCCCACAGTCTGCTGGGGTGCATTGAGCAGTGCAGCTCACAGGCTGTTGCCTTCTTCTTCTCCCTTTCCCAGCACTCTGCCTTCCCTCACTGCTGCTCTCCCCCCCTTTGGCTCATTTGTTACTATCTTGTTTGCTGCAGGCATCCCTTAAACCTCAAGCAGGATGGAGGGAGTGCCTGGAAATGTGGCAATTTTCTTCAATAACCATTGGTTTTGTAGAACAGCTTTCTTAGCCCAGGATTGCAGAGGGTTTTACAACATAACAGTGGATGTGGTTCGGTGGGAGCAACAACTGGGCTTGCAAATGCAGCAGCAATGCAGTGCTCAGCACTGGGGCTCAGCTCAGATACCTGCATACCTCCAGGAGAGGCTTTTAGCAGGTAAGGTGTGACATGCATTGCTTGTGGCTATGAAATGCATGCGAGTGCACAGTTACCACCTGCATAATGCATCCCCCTCCTTCCCCACACAAGGAAGGATGCTTTGAAGAAATCCAGTTTGCTCTCCCCTTTCTTTTTGCTTCCTTCCTCCCAGCACAGCTGCATGAGAGCCGTAGATATTCTGCTTGTTCCCTCCCCTGCCATTTCTCCCAGCTTTTTTTGGCAGTGACACCCTGCAGACATTTGTTCACTTGTTGCCTGTCTCTTGTGATAGCAGCGTGGAGCTTTGGAGCGTGTGAACAAAGCGGTGTCTTTTGCTGAAGCACGCTGAACACTGATGGGTTTTTGGGTTCGTGTATTATCTCAGGTGAAATAGAGAAAAACAAACCCACTGTTGCAACGCTAATCCTAAGCAGGGGCGTGTTGGTTAACTCTGCATTAGAAGACGTTGAGTCAGGCGTGCTTAGTCTGATTCCAAGGTTTGAATGGGCTTCACCATGGCCACCAATTTCCCCTTGGTGTCTGTTTGCCGTTAACGATGGCACTTGAGAAAGCAGAAACGCACTGGGGGCGATCCATCTCTGTTGCTGGCTGCTCCCTGCTGCATGCTTTAATTATGCTTCCCCCCACCTTACAAAGCCCCTCTGCTGCTGCAGTCCCTGAGCTCATTAAGGGGCTGTGGGGAGGAGCGGGCTCACCTGCGGCCCTGCACAGTGTGGGGCAGAGGGGCCACAGCTTGACATGGGCTGAACACAGCTGAGCTGGGCTCTGGGACCTCATCCTGCCCCTAAGCCACACTAAGGGCTCAGTGTGTTGTTTGGCTGCCAGATAAACTCATCCCTCCACCCGTGGGCAGTGGGGGCTCCTTGGAAAAGGAGTCCATCCCTCCCCCTCCATCCTTACCCCTCCATTCCTCCCCACACACTGCACCATCCAAACTCATTGGAGCTGGAAGCTTACAGGCCAGCTTCAAGAGCAGCTGGGGTTTTCCCAGCACTTTCCCAAACGTGACCCTTTTTGCTTCCATCCCAAAGCACGTTCTTTTTGTGAGCTGATGTGGAGTTCAGCTTGGTGGGAACAGAAGTGCTTAAGCACAACTGAACGTGAGCGAGTGCAGCAGGAAGGTCTGGGTGATGTTTCCTGTGGCCACTGCTGCTCAGCCCCCATCTCACTGCCCACTCTGACTCCAGCACAACCTCAGAGCTGTGCCACACACCGCTGCTCCATGCCTTGGAGTCCATCCTGCAGGTAGAGGGAAGCAAACAGGTTTTATTCAAGGCCAGAAGGAAGGAGGGAGATGGATTAATCCAACAGAGCGCAGAGCAGGTGATTTCATGCCGTGCTTCCTGCCACGGTGGAAATTATTTTCTGTAATGGAAGTGAACCTTCACGAGCCTGCTGGCTCGTGGCTGGTCTCAGGGATATCCTTCCTGGAAGAACTCCAGTCAGGGTTTAAATGCTGCGATGGATGATGAAGGTTTTTTGGCAAGCTATCCTAAAAATCAATTACCCTTTTTGCTAATGAGCCACGTGAAATTTCTTACTTGAGTTTTCTAGCATTACTTGCTTGCCATCAGAACACCAGCCAGGAAAAGCACATTAAATTAACAGATCTAAGCAGAACCCCAACAGACACCTGCAATTCCTCGCCCTGAGGGCAGCCCCTCCTCTTCCCATCAGATATCGCTGTCTGTGGGGTAGAACCAGAGCTTACTGTGTCCTAATTAACTTCTGCTGAGTTCTGCTGGGTGTTCTGTCTGTGGGTGCCATTGGCAGTGCAGGGCTGGGGGGATGCTGAGTGCTCCCAGTGCTTGTTGCCCTTCCAGAAGCATTCCAGGCTCCAGCAGTTGTCTGAAGTCTCTAAAGATCTTTATTTAAGAACTGCGTGCTTCTGTAGCCAATAAATAACCATAATTACAGTAAATACAGTATGCTTACACTGCTCCCCATTTGTTTTCCTTAAAAAAATAGTTAACAAGCAAGTTGTTGAGAAGAAAGCTGCCTGGGTGCAGTGAGGCTGGATGAAAATATTCCCAGCTGATGGTTGGTGTGGTGGGGAACAGCTCTGCAGGTTTGGAGCAGGCAGGATTCAGGACTCCAGGCTTTATGGATGGGATGCCATCCCGTTCTTTACCCCGTTATGAATGGGATTCGTTACTCAGCTCCTTCCTTGGGTGAAGGATGGGAACGTCTCCCATCTGGGATCAGTGTTGAATCATTCCTGCTGTAACTGAGCCCTTCCTCATCCAAACCCACCTGGCTGAGTGCTGAGTTTGGTCCAGACCTCCTAAAATCAGAAACATAACTTTCCATCTGTAACTTCAGTACGACCAGGTAGGCTATTGCATGTTAGATGTGAATATATCAGAGCTGTTCACCTGGGAGACCCAAAGCTTTTCACCCTCGTTGCTTATCCCTTCCAGCATCCTCGTGGCATTGGTGGCACTGCTAAGAAGTAAGAAGGACCCTGTGAAATTGGATGACTTCCCTCGCTGAGCCATAACAGCATTGGAACAAAACCCGGGCGCTTAACTCGTCCCTGTAAGTCAATTCCTAAAGTAAATGCTCACAGCAATTACACGTGAGGGATTGTTAATGAGACAGGAAATTGATTTGCAGCTTAATGCAACAGTGCAAATCCAGTGACCTCGTGTTAAGATGCTGAAATCTTCTGTGTTCTCCCCCAGCTCACAACACCCTTTAGGCCCCGTGCTGCACTTCAGAAGCTCTGAGTGCTCTCACAGGAGGTTTCTCCCACATCTTTCCCTCCTGCTGAGGGCTTTGGTTGGGCTTTACGTGTGGGTTTATTTTATAGCTTGGATAGAATTTAATTGGGTACTGCCTCGGGTGCGCCTTGCTAAAGGAATAGGTGTGTGTGCACATCACTGTGCATCCCAAAGCCCCCTGAGAAATTCAAGGGGAAAATGGGCTGCCCCCAACAAGGCAGCCCTTGCTGTAACACAGCCAGTGCCTCTGGGAGCCCTATGCTCTGCCTTCGGCCTCTGTGGGTGCTGCAGGTGGGGAATCCTCACTGCTCGCCCTGCTCTGCACCCAGCCTGCATCCCTGCGTGTGCTGCAACGCCTTTCAGTGTGCCCCTGTCTTTGCCCCAAGTCACCCCCAGTGCCTGGTGGGCACAGGGCTTCATGGTGATGGTGCTTTGGGGAGCACTGGTGCCACATGAGCAGTGCTGGGTGACAGCACAGGGCTGGGGGCAATGGGGTCCCAGCCTTGCTGAAAGCTGCTCTGCTCTGAATCAGCCCCAGCAGTGTGAGTGCACAGATGGTGCAGACTGCCTGGAACATGCAAAGGCACCACTTGCCTCACTTCCCACAAGGGGAAACTGCTGGGGTCTGTGTCACATCTGGGGTTAGAGCAGTGGCTATGGCCATCTCTTGGTCACACTTCTTTGCTTCTGTGTGTAGTCCTTAAAACGTTGCAAAAAAGGAGCAGCGTTTTGGTTAAAATGCATCCTGATGAAGCTGTGTGTGATTTATCTTTTCAAAAATGAGGCATAACTTGAATTCAAATAGCGAACATTTAGCTATCAAGGGGACCTACTTGTCACTTAAGGGCTTTAGGAAATACTGTCCCATGAATTTTACATGGCAGAGTATATTCAGGCCGTTTGCAATGCAGAGCAGTGCCAGCCAGAACATTTGAAATCCAACCATGAAGTTTTTCACTGATATAAACTGTGCCTGTGATCTACTTCAACCCATAAATACATGGAGAATGTACAAACCTTCCCAGGGATTGCTGCAGGTGGCAGCTATTTAGCACCCAGTGGCACTACCGCATTTAAGTGCTTTTTTCACTGTGCTGGAAATCACCATCCTGTGAAGTTAAATCAAGTGTTCACAGCCACTGTTGTTGCTGGACACATCTGGAAGCATCTGCTGAGGCTGTTTGAGTCGGGGACAGGCTGGTGCAGAGCCTCAGCCCCTGAGTGTGGCAGTGGGGCTTTGCTTTGCTTTGCTCTGCTCGCTTGTGACAGTTCATCCAGCATGCAGGCGGTCTAACCAAGCACAGTCGGTTGCTCTGCAGCTGTGCACGCACCTCTTGGAGGCACAGAGCTCTGCCTGTGCTGAGCAGCTGCTCCAGCTCTGCTGGTTGGGTTCTCATGTAACATCTGTGCCCAATGCTGGGATGGACATCGGGTCAGAGCCAAGCCTGCACCCCACTGCTCTGCTTTTCCCCCCATGTTGCTCAGTGGGTGTCTTCAGGAGGAGAGTTTCAGTTCCATCCCACGTTGCAGAGCACAGCAGGACCCAACCTGGGCTCCTCCAGCTGCTGCACCTCAGTCCGATGGTCCCTTTTGGGCACTTCATGTCATCCTTCTCCCATTTGCTCCTCTCCCAAAACTCTGCAGAGCCGCATCAGAGGTTCATCAGTGCTTCCAAGCTCAGTAGGTGCAGCCACTTTTTTGCCTCCTCCACTCTGCATCGATCAGACTGCCTGTGACCAAGCCCTGATCTTCCTTGTTTTGACCTAACACTGAATTCCTCATTCACCTCTCATCCTTCCATGGGAGAAAGGCCCAAGGCCCAGCGAGGTGGATGGAGATATGGAGATGGTGACAAAAACACTGATGTAACAAGAGAAAACATTCTGCCAAAGGAAAAAAAAAAATAAAAAAGAACAACAAAAAAAGGGGTTCCAAACCTGAATAGAAATATTTAAAAGTCTTCAAGAACTTATCTGGTATAAAAATAGGAATTTATGTTTAGACGTTGTTGTCCTCCTGAAGGAACTGCTGGGATCTGCTGCAGGGATGGAGGGTTAATCCACGGAGAGCTGCAGAGCGAGGGGGGGTCCCTCCATCACTGCCTGCCACGCACCAGTGGGATCTGCATTGCTTTTTAGTTTTTAGTTTTTATTCAAGGGAAACCGAAGAGCCCTTTCTTTTTTTTTGCTTTCGCTGCCCTTTAAATGTTATTAGCTTTGTGATGTTTGTTTTCCCCTGCCTGTTCCCTCAAGCATTTCTCCTGCTCCCTAAGCACCGTGGGACCCGTTACCTTCTTGCTTCCAGATGCGACCAACTGGTAATGGGAAGCTGTGGATGTGCAGCAGGCCTCACTCCTCCGGGAGGGCAGGGATTTATGCATGTAATCTCTTTAATGCTCACTAAAGCCAAGGACATGTTAGTTTTAAAATGATTAGTTGGGGTAAGGAATTGGCATCTAGCATAGGAGCTGTGTGCCAGTCCTTTCCCATTGCACCAGCCAGGAAGGTGAATCATTCCATTGCTTTACTGGGAGATGCAGAATTTTTAATAGGTGGCAGCTCTTCCCAACCATTTCAATCAGTGGGGCGGCTGGACATCCCCACGTTGGGGTGTCAGCCCTATGTACATTGGCCAGGCACACCGAGGATCCATCATATGTCCCCAAATCTGGGACTGGGGATGAATGCCCCGTTCCAGATCCTCCTTGTTGCCTCAGCTTTGTGAAGTCTGCAGGTCTTGGTTAATTTGCGCCGCGTTCCTTTCTCTTCCTTCTTTCAGGTCCTCTCCGCCTTGAAATGAAGCATCTCCAAGCCTTCTGCATCAGGAGGATCTCTCTCCAAACGGGTGGATTTTCTCTTACCCCTCCCCAGACAACAAAGAAGCAAACAACAGAACAAGAACACCGCGGACCAGGTGGGATATGGATCACATCAAACATTGCACCTCACAGCATGGCAGCTGTTACAAACACGAGGCTGCGAGTTAACACCAGTGTCATAAAAAAACAAAAGAAGATGTTCACAAGCTAAACTCTTGTGTGCACCCATCTCCTTCAGGATGAAGCAGAGAGTGGTGTCTCTTGTGGCTTTGTCTCCTTGGGCTCGTTGCTGTGGCGTTTGGCTCTTATTTTGGGGAAGTGAATCGTGTCCCATTGCTCCATAGAGATGGCTGTGGTTGGGGTCGGTGTGGAGCGTGCCCATCACTTGGAAGTCCTCAGTCCCCAGATTCCCTTCCCCCTCCCCCAAATACACTGTACATATTTTAAAAAAAGTCAAGTTTAGCAGTCTGGTTATTGTAGTACATGGCTTCGTAAGGCAGAAAACCTTCTCAGTGTGGTGAACAGGGCAGTCGGCTGTCAGAATTTGGGTAGAATTCTTCTTTGCTATACTCACTTAAAAAAAAAAAAGTCGATTGGTTGCAGACCCACGTCTTGTATGAAGTCTCACACTCTTCCAAAGGAACGACAACAAAAAAAAAAGCTGTTTTTCTTTCTTCCTCCCTTCAGATAATGTTAGCAAATCCCTCTCTGTAACACTGCTGCGGTCCAAACATGGAGGTGCAGCACCAGACATCGAGCAGTTCCTGCTGCCCTGGCAGGAGGGATGTCCCACATCTCAGCTTTGCTGGCCCCATCAGAGCTCCAGGTACCGGATCAGGGCCACCATGGCCAGGGAGTTGGTGGTGATGATGGCAGCGTGTGGCACCGGCCTCGTCACGGCGTCTTCCACCATCATACTGGTCCCTGGAAGAAAGGGAGCAAGGAAGGGGCAGCTGTGGTGCTGCATGGGCACAAAGGTTTCTTGTAGAGATATTGATGGTGCAATGTTGGCTGTGGGGTTCTGTGTGCTCCTGCTGTGCATGGCACAGGTGAGCCTCCCAGAAATGGTTGTGTTTGAAGCAAGAATTTGGAGGTGGGATTTGAGCATTCATGCACTGAATCAAGGAACTGGCGGTGGGGCTCCTATTGGGGGCTCTAAATGATGTCACACAATGAATATAATTTGGGTGGGAGTCGGGGGACGAAGAGTTTCAGCTTCAGGTGATAAAACTGGGTTTGGTTTAAGCTGAAGAGTTGCTAAGAGGGGCTGTGGAGAGTTTGGTGACCAAGTCAAAGAACATGACAGCGAGTATTCCTGGAAATGGATCTATTGTTTTGCAGCATTCTGGGAAGCACCCTGAAGATGAGCATTTGTACCCGGGGTGCAGACGTACCACTATTTCGGAGGATGTGGACTTCTGCTGGGATCCCATCCCCCCCAGGCCCCGTCACCCGGATCTGTACGAAGGCATGAGTGAAGTCCTCAGGCACTGGGATGTCGATCCGACTCTTGCTCGCCAGGTACAGCGTGGGAGCAGAGTGGGAATCCTGCCTGTAAAGCATCTGTTGGAAGAAGCAGGTTTGAGTTTACGTTCCCTGCGGTTTCCTTAGTGTAACAGAAGGCTCTCGGCATGCTTGCCTGTACCTTGTACCCTGTAACTGCAGACTCATCTGCCTGTGCCACCACTGGGTCCCACTTGATGGTGACTGTAGACCCAGTCAGAGTCCAGGAGATGTTGCCTGGTGGCCTCCTTGGTGCTAAGAGATAAAAAAGGAGACAGAGATTCAGCGAGCCAGGGGCTGATGGAGGGGCTGTGCTGGTTGCACCCATCTCTTGAGGCTCTCTGGTTCATGAATAGAGCTGTGGGACACTTTGTTGGTTTAATGGAAGGCATCCCAGAGAGCATTACAACATTTTTGAAGGAGAGAAGGAGAAAAAAACTGTTTTCCCTTGGTGCTATTTGTAACAAATGGCATTCCCCCTTCGAGGCTCAGAGTATTTCTTCATGAAGTGTAGATGTGGCACTCGGGGATGTGGTTGGTGGGCATGGTGGGGATGGGTTGATGGTTGGGCTTGGGGATCTTTGAGGTCTTTTCTAACCTTTACAATTCAATGACTGCATGATTCTGTAGTGAGCAGGGCTGATCCTAGGAAACGCAGGGAGCTGTTTTATTGACTATTTGGGATGGCTTTGGGGCACTGAGAGGTGCAAGCTGATTGGCCAGCTGCTCGCTAGGGGTGCACAGGAGGCAGCACCGTGTAATGGAGGCAGTCAGAGCTCACTCACGTGGCTTTATGGTTGTGATGTTGGTGGAGGGGCTGGGGGGCCCAGCTCCAGCACGGTTGTAGGCTCGCACTGAGACGTGGTATTTCGTGTTGGGATTTAGGCCTGTGACGTGAGCCGATGTGACCAACCCTGCTGTTCTCACTCTGTCAGCTGCCTCCTCTTTATCGCCATCCTTCCAGTACCGGATCTGAATAGAAAAGGGTTCAGTAAGGAAAGAAATATCTGCGAATTTCCATTCAAGAACAGTGTTGGGCACCCCTTGGCGCTTGGGACACAGGTTGGTGAGCAAGGTGAGGATGGGTTGGTGGATGGACTTGGTGATCTTGGAGGTTTTTACAGCTTGAGTGATTCTCCCTTGTTCCCACGATGGATTCGTACCTCGTAACCCAGCAGCACGCCAGTCATGTCTCCCTGCTCCACTGGCTCCCAGGACACATCCATTTCTGAGGACAGAACAGCTTTGGCTGTAACTCTGAATGGAGCCACTTTTGGTTCTGAAAAAGACGAGAAAAAGGGATAAAATGCTTTTCCAAGCTCTGGGCAGTGCATTCACTGTACTGAAAGGAGAGGCTCGCCTCAGCACCTGAACCGTGCAGCCCGACAGCTGGTATTATGTATACAGAGCAAAGAAAGGGGAAGGGATTGAGGGACTTAGCAGGTCAAGGAGACCAACAGCTGCATGCTGTGAGGATCTGTCTGCTTTGTGCTTAGGGAAGCCTCTATCTGTGTACTGAAGTAGAAGATAAATCCTATGCTCAAATCACTATCGGCTGCCCTTAGAATGGCAAACCTCTCCTATCAGCAAGCCGCCAGACAGCAAGAGCCCCTGCTGTCCCCTTCACCTTCTTCTGCGGAGTACACGATGGCTGTGAGGCTCTCTGGTCCCTCTCCTTTCCTGTTGTATGCTTTGATCTTCACTTCGAAGGGGGTGTAGGGCCCGATGCTCTCATTGCGGTACACGTAGTGCAGGGATTCCGCATGAGGCACGCGGGCAGTGAGCCATTCCTGAGTGCCCTTCTTACGAAATGACAGGATGTAGCCAAAGCCATCTCCGTTCTGGTAGTCCCGCAGTGTTGGCTGTGAGGAAAAAGCCTTGGGTGGAAAAAGCATTTCTGGATGGGGCTTTCAACAAAAGGGTCGCATTGAGTGGTGTGGTTTAGTGGCACGGTGGCAACGGGTTGATGGTTGGAACTGATGACTTTAGTGACCTTTCCAACCTGAAAGATTCTATGATTTCCTTATGTCTGCCGTGAGCAAAATTGCTGCTGTGGCTGTTCAGATGCCACTGTGGCAGGGAGGTGATATTTAAGGTCCCTTCCAACCTAAGCCCCTCCGTTCAAGAGAGCAAGACTTTGGGACCGCTGCTAAGCAGTGTTTGGCTCCATCGTTGCATTGCAGCACTGATTTGCTGTCCCCTGCCCTCCCACAGCCCTCCTGCCAGTGCTGTGCCACTGACTCACCGTCCAGTTGATGATGAGCTCATTGGGAGCCCCGCCGCCACCGCCGAGCCCAGATGGTGCCACTGTGGGTGCTGCAGACAGTGCAGGTTGGGTTAAAGGAACAGCAGTGGTGAGGATGAGCGCAAAGACAGGCACAGGCAGCTGCCTCTCAGCCAGAAGTATTTCAGATATTTGTGAAAATCAGGTCTCGAACACTGGCTGGTCCCTGACATGCTTATTTACCAGCAGCGTTCCTCTGAAGGGATGAGAATCAATCTCAAAAGCAGGAATTTGTGGGAGAGTTTAAATTAGAAAGGAGTTAATATGCACTTGGTGCGTTGAGAGTGTTTCTCCTGCTGATCCTACATCCCTTCTGCTTGCGTGTTCGAGCTGCACGAGATAGAATCAACATTTACAGCTGGGAAATTTATCTTGTGTTTGCACAGTTGTGCTCTCTAATATAATAGGGCTCTTTCACCTTTCTAAGCATTACTACCCAGAACGTATCGTATTTGAAGCTAGGATTTGTAGTGCTTTAATATATTGTTGCTCATGCTGGTGAGGCTGGCTGCCAGTTCTGGTAATTCTTTGTCTTTGATGTGTAAATGGGCAAAAAGGCAGAAAAATTTGCGATGGGTTCACCTCTAGGAGCACTCAAGGAGAAGACTAATCGCCCAGGCCAGGGCTTGCTGCAAGCCAGCCTTCCCTTTCTGCATGTAGGTGCCTCTGATTCCCTATTGAGCATGTTTGCACGTACCTGCTTCTTTGGTACGGATTTTGCTGGAGGGTAAACTTGGCTCCCCAACTCCAAGGATGTTACTCGCTAAGACCCGAAACTCGTAATCCATCCATGGGATGAGGTTCACCACCTGGGCTGTCTCGGCATTGCCTTCGATGTTTACAGGATCTATATAATCCAATAACACGAGAGGAGAACAAATAGAGCAAATGGTGGACAGCTTGCGAGCAAGACAGAGCAAGAGCTCAGCAGGGAGCTGGTGAGCCCAGGCTGGGACTTCAGGGACCACACCACAGCCCTGAGGGCACTTACTGGTGCGCATCTGCTTCCATTTGTTGGAGAGCAGTGTCCTGGCCTCGATGCTGTACCTGGCGATGGGGCTGTGGTTGTCGAAGCCACGGCTCCAGCTCAGTTGGACAGTGGTGTCACCGATGTCTCTCACCACCACACCCCCAGGGGGCCCGGGGGGTCCTGGGGTGAAGGAGAGAGGTGGACATGTTACTGAAGTGTCAAGGATTTGGGGGGTTTACTGCTCTTTGTGTCCTGCAAGTCATAAATGAAGATCAAACCTTTCTTTTCTGGAGGCAAGGAAGCCTCACCACGCATTTTCCTTCTTC